CCACCCACCTCCCCCTCAGCCTCCCTCCCATCCTTATCCCGAGCTCATCGGCTCCCTCATGTACGCCATGGTCTCCACTCGTCCCTGACCTTGCCTACCCCATCAGCGTCCTCGCTCGTTTTGTTGGCGCAGGCAAGCATACGGAAGAGCACTGGCAGGGCCGCCAAGCGTGTCCTCCGGTACCTTCGTGGCACCAAGGACTATGTCCTTACCCTTGGCGGCCCCTCCCCACCTCTTCTCAGCGGCTACAGTGACTCCTCCTGGGCTGATTCCCGGCCAGATCGTCGCTCCTCCCAGGGCTATGGCTTCTCTCTTGGCAGCGGCCTTATCAGCTGGGCGCTCCACCCGCTCCTCGGCTGCAGCCCTCTCCTCCTGCGAGGCGGAATTGTATGCCGCCACCATGGCTGCGCAAGAGGCCCGCTGGCTCACCTTCCTTCTTGGGAACTTGGTGCCCCCCAGCGCTGTCCCACAATTTGGTGTGACAATGCTAGTACCATTCACCTCACCAAAGATGCTGTGTTTCACGGGCGCTCCAAGCACATTGAGCTCCGTCATTTCTTCATTCGCGATCTTGTTCAGGCGGGGCACCTTCGCCTCGACAAGTTTGACTCGGCGGCCAACCTTGCCGACATCTTCACGAAAGCTCTTCCTCATGCCGCTCACTCTTTCCTACTTCGTCTTCTTGGCCTCACTCCTCCTAAGTCGCCTCCCGCCTCTTGATTTTAGCCTTCTAGCCTTATGCATGTTGGGGGGGTTGTGTTGTAATTTCATATTCATACAACATACATAGGCTAGAAGTGTAGCACATTTTATAAATTGGGGGGTTGCTTAGTGTACCCTCCAACCACATTTTGTGGTTGGTTAGGATTGGTCCTTAGCTCAACCAATCCCAACCAACACACATTTGTGGTTGCTTGGGTCACAAGCAAGCTCACCCATTGGCCAACGTATTGGCCAATAGGGTAAGCTTCCCTCTCATCTCTCTCTTGCTCATTGTTTGTACTAAAGAGCCTCTTGCTCATTATTCAATGTATCAATTCTCTCTCTTCTAACATGCACATCCATCCCTCCCCCCTCTCCCTCCCCCCCCCTCCAGGTTCTCCATAGACCTAGGACGTGGACGCCCCCAAGGTGGCCATCCCCGCTGACCCCTCGCCCCCACGGGGAGCCGCCCACGCAGCTGCTGCTCGACTTCGGCCACTTCACCCTCAAGGACCGACCAGGTGCCCTCTCTACGGCCTCGTGCCGCCCCCTAGAACAGTCAACCCGACTCCCACCATCTTGCCTTGACGCCCACAAGGAGCGCTTCGACTGGTGAGGACCTGGCCAGTGGCTGGCGTTTGCTCATGCTTACTTTGCCATCTCACCGTTGCCGCTGGTCCACACCCTTGTACAGGACGACCCATCGTTGGAGGGCAGTGAGGCCATGGCGGCGGCAGCGCTGTACACGCGGTTCAAGATCACGGCCACCGACATCTCCATGTCCGTCGCCGATGGGCCTTTGACTGGCGGCGATACCAGCAGCAGCAGCACGGTGGCACGGATGGGAGGCGGGTGCAGGGGAGGGCGGATCAGGGGGCTGCGTCTGGACTTGCTGCAGAAGTGTGGCCTCTCTGCCGTGCTGCACCAGGTGGGCTCCTCTCGTCTGCTCGCATACTACCAACAACATGCTTGTGTTGCATCTTAAGCACGCCCTGGAAACGAGCATGAGTGCAAGTGCGTATGCTCCATGCCCCTCCCGGCCGTGCAGATGATGGTAGAGCACCCCAGCTACCCCCACCACGCGGCATTGCCGTGTGGCTGCCGTGCCTCGCCTTCCACTACTCGCCCGCCCGCTACCGCCGCCTCATGCGCGCCCTCCGTGCGCTCTCCCCCGCGCCGCCTCCTGCTGCTGAAGCCGACGCTGCAGAGGGCGGGGTGGCTGGCGAGGGTGATGGGGCGGTGGCGGTGCGACCATGGCAGCAGGCGGACCAGGCGGGCGATGTGTGCCTGCTGCAGTGGACGGTGAGAGATGGGATGTGTGCCTGCTGCAGTGGACGGGTGAGAGATGGGATGTGTGCCTGCTGCAGTGGACGGTGAGAGATGGGATGTGTGCCTGCTGCAGTGGACGGTGAGAGATGGAAGGGGGTCTCTGTGTGCCGCAGCCATTTCTATGTGAAGTCACATCACATCAACCGTTCTTTTCCTGTCCCATACTCTCACCTCGTTGCCTCCCCGTCTCCAATGCTCTTGTTCGGCTCCTTCTCCCGTGCCCTTCTCATGCCCGTCTCATGGAGCATGGCAGCGCATAGGCAGTGCAGCGGAGTGGGTGCCGTACTGGGCGGCACTGGTGGGGCCCACACTGTATCTGCTGGACCACCCCGAGGCCACCAAGCCACACAAGCAAATCAAGTACGCCCGCCCCCCCTCATGCGTCACCCCACAATCTCCCCCGTACGGCGTGCACTCCACCCCACCGCTTTCTGCTGCAAGCTGAAGTGATTGATGCTGATTGTGCGACGTGCACATACATCCCGCTCGCATGCATGCGCCTGACCATGCCATGCTCCCATGCCCCTCACACCCCCTCGCGCACATGGCAGTCTGAGCAGCGCCATGGGGGTGCTGGACGTGCCTCCGCAGCACATAGCGGGCTACCACCACGTCATTGCCCTCGCTGCCCGGGGCGCTCAACCTGCCAAGGTGCGTCGCCTCCCATGCTGCTGCACGCCACCACCTCATCTCTGTGCCGCACGGCGCCTCACATGCCCACACATTTGCGCTGCTTCTTCCCTGCGTGGCTTCCCTGCTTTGTGGTTAGGCACATAACATTGGTTTGGAAGTGCTGGCTGTCCTGTGCTGGGAGCAGGTGGTGCTGTCAGGGCAGGCGGTGGTGCTGCGGCTCAAGTCGGAGGCCCTCAAGGCGCATTGGGCTGCACGCCTCACAACCGCACTCTACCATGCCTCTGTGAGTTTCGCACTGCACCCCCCTCTGCCATTGCTTGCCTTGAGCCAGAGCATCCAGTAGGAAATAAGAGTGTTAAGCAGCGAAGGTGGACGAGTCGTTTGGCTACCACTGCTGGTCGCTCACGCTCCTCTGTCCGGCTGCGTGCTCGTCCCTGTGTGTGTGCCCCCACAGGCGCCTGCCTCCATGGACCTCCTCACCAACGATGCCTTCTCCACCGAAGCACCTGAAGAAGCACCTGGTCAGATGCCGCCCGCCTCACCTGAGCGACATCTGGCCCCTAGAGAACCTTTGTCCCCGTCTGTGCGTGCGGCACCGGTGGTGGTGGAGGGGGAGGGTATGGGGGCGGGATCAGGGGGCGCGCAGGAGAAGCCGTTCCTCTACATCATGGGCGCGCGCTGGACGACCTGCGCCTCGCCATCAGCTCCGTTGTGAGTCTCGCCCCTCCCGTCATGACGGCTTGCGTTGCATGAGGCGCTGCATTGTGTGGGCGGGGTTGAGGCACAGCTGTAAGTCATTAAGTATGATGTGCTTGTAAGTGTGTGCTCTTCCGGTCCTCACTGCTCCACCCACTGCACTTCTCACTGTCTTCCTCCTCTCACTGCCGCCTCCCTGCGTCACCCACCCAACCCCCCCAGCGGCGAGGGGCGGCGTCGTGGGACGAGGAGGAGAGGATAATCGAGATCCGGGCCGGGCGGGAGGGGGAAGGTGGAGGTGCAGCAGCGTTCAGCGGACGTGGCGGTGGGGGTGGGTGTGCGCGAGGTGGAGGTGGAGGACTTCTTCCAGGGCGCTGGGGCCCTCGCCCCCACCTGCCGCCTCATGGCACGCTCCCTGCTCGCCCCCCATGCCGCTCCCACTGCTGCTGCTGCTGCTGCTCCGCGCAAAGGAGGGGGACACGCGGGCGGGGAGGAGCAGCAGAAGGGGCAGGATGGGGGGGAGGGGGTGCCTGTCAGTGGCGGGAGCGGCGGTGGTGAGAGTGGTGGTGGAGGGAGTGGCAGGCACGCGGGTGCAGATGTGGCGCCTGGGGCTGAGCAGGTGGCGCCAGACATGAGCACACGGGAGACACTGGAGGGTGCTGCTGAGACAGGGGATGAGGGAATGAAAGAGGAGGGCACGGAAGGCAAGGAGAGCGAGGAGAGCAAGCAGGGCAAGGAGGAAGATGAGGACGAGGAGGATGAGGATGAGGATGGCTTTGCAGACGCAGAGGCGGAGTTCCTGCTGTCGCCCACGTCGTCAGGGGCGTCCACGCCACGCCACGGCGCAGCAACGCTTGAGGGCGATGGAGGCGGGGGGTACAACGGTGCAGCAGAGTTCTTTGACGCGCGTGACTTCGCTCTGGATGACGGCGACGCGGCCATGTGCCCAGCTTTGGCCGCGCGGGGGCGGTTGCTGCCCGACATGGGGTGGCAGCACGCAGAGGCGAGCAAGCGACGTGCGAGGCAGGGGAGGGCGAGGAGGAGGAAGGGGGGGGAGGCGAGGAGGAGGAGGAGGAGGGGGATTTTGTGGTGGTGCAGATTGGCATGTACCAGCCGTCATCGCCCAGCTACACTGGTGTTGACACTCAGGTGCGCCCAGCTGCACTGCGAGACACGAAACAGTCTGACTTAGGGATGAGCAAAGGGCGAACTCGAACACGTTCGGGTTCGAGTTCGCCTCGAACATCACCATTTCCCGAACCGAACAAGGTTCGGTTCGGCGAACAATTTGGCAAGCAGGAGGTGTTCGCCGTTCGCCCATGGGGGCGAACATTTGGTATATGTGGGCGAACTCGAACATGTTCGAACCGAACATGTTCGAGTTCGCCCGTGGGCAATTTCGTTTTAGTCACATTGGTCAAACAGGGAATCTGGAGGGTTGGGAAGATAGATAGGGGGGTGGAGGGTGTATATGTGTTCATGCAACGCACACTAGCATACGACACCATCATGTTTTGCCTATATAAAAGTCACTGTCAAATTAAATCCTACGCCTGCACACCACTGCTACTACCAACAACAGCATGCTCCGCGTCAGAGGTGTCGCCAGCACCCACCCCCTCCTGCTCCTCCTCCCCCTCCTCTTCCTCCCACTCGTCGTCCTCCTCCTCCCCCTCGCCTTCAATGGCGAACTCTGGTGGTGCCTCGCCTTTTGCACGGCGGCCCTCGCCTATCCTCTGTCCAGGGTGTGAGGTGTACCATGATCTGAGAATCATGGAAGCTCGCGTCCTCTGAGAGGCTAGGCGGTGCCGCTTCCAGGAAATGAGGTTGCGGCCGAGGGAGAACACGCGCTCGCTCGACGCGGACGTGGCAGGGATGGCAAGATAATCCCGGGCCATGCGCCTCAGCGTCTGCATGTTGGTGGCGCTGCACCAATACTCCAACGCTGACACGTCGCACCGCACCCTCTCAGATAAGTACCTGCCAACCTCGTCATCCTGCACCATCCCACCCCTCCTCCTCCTCCGTCATTGGGGCAAGTGGGGTCGGCCGAGGGGCAATCGCTGTAGCCCGGGCCTGGTACTCGGCCACGCGTTCGCGAACCAGCTGGATCACCTCGCCTGACGAGGGACGAGGCCTCGCCCTCCGGTCGGTATCGGGATGCAGCGTCTCCCAGTGCGCGTCGTCGAACCACGCCGCCTTCATGGAAGGGTCCAGGAAGGTCGCGATCCACAACTCGTTGCTTGACATCAGTTCATACTTCTTCAAGAGACCCAGCGCCGCCTCAATCATCGGCTTCAGCGTAGCCGATGGCCCCTTGGCAAGGCGCGACTCCATAGCATCGATCAGGCCGTTGTAGTACGGCAGGACCATCGCCACTGTAGGGTACGCCGCTCGCGGCCTTTGAGACTTTGGCGAATGGGCTGAGGAAGGTCTTGATAGAATGCAGAGTCTCCCAGTCTGCGTCCGTCAGGCGCAAGGTGTCCATCTTCGCCTTGTCAGCCTTCGACACGCCCTGTCGGGTAGAACGTATGGGTGGGCGGGTGTTAGGGTAGAAAGTGGGGTGGTTGAGGTTGTTGGAGGTCCGATAAGTTTAGTCAAGCATGGCCAACAGTGGTGCAAGTCCCAGAACAAAACACCCCGACCGACATACCAACACATAAAACCGCATACACAACACCTGGCACACACACACACCTGTGTCTGGGCAAAGAAGACAGAGATGGGTTCCTGCAGAACCCCAGCTCGCTCGACCATGTCGTGGGTCGACCCCCAGCGTGTGGGACTGTCCTGCACCAGCTTCAATGCCGGCTTCGGTTTGGCGGGGTTGCCCTGCGCGTTCAGGGTCCGCTGAAGGCCCAAGAACTTCCCTGAGCGCTGCGGCGAGAAGCCTATCCACGACGCCATCTCTCTCAGAATCTTCAGCAACTTGCGGATGGCGGTCACAGCGAGTGCTGCTTTCACTGCAAGGTTGATCACGTGTGCCAGGCATCTGCGCACATCACAAAACATTAATGGCGAAGAGAAAGGGAAGTGTGAGTACACATTGGCATAGACCCGAGAAACACTACCACTCTCAAGCCGCATAGGCCCACCCTCCCGTACTACAACCACAACATGTTCACAGGAACGACGCACCCAGACTCCCTCATCGCACATCCCACGCACACTCCCTTTCGTACCGGAAGTGCATGCGCGAGTTGAAGAAGCACTGGCCACCACCCTCCTCCGACATCCACCTGAAAGCGGCAGTGTTGCTGGAGGCGTTGTCTGAGGTGAACCCAAGACAACGCGTCTCCAACCCCCACTGCACCACCGTCTCCTCAACCACCCTCGCCATCTGCTTGCCCGTGAATCTCGCGGAATTCAAACACCATTGTGCGCAGCTGGTGATTCTCGTCGATCCAGTGACCCGTTACCACTAGCCACGCCCTGTTGTTGGGCGACGTCCACATGTCGATGGTGAACGACACCCTGCACCCCAGCTCCCCCTCCTTCGCCAGCATCTCCGCAATGGCTGACTGAAGAGCGGCAGCCGCATAGACCACTGTGTCGCGGGAAACCGTCCAGCGCGAGGGGATGAAGTTCTTCTGCGCGCAGTTGCGGATTAGCAGGATGAGTAGCTCACGAAACTGGAGAGGGGTAGAGACAAGGGGGGAGAGGGGAGTAAACGTCAGGGGGATGGGATGAAAATAATATAGCGCTGCACTGGGCCACACGCAAACAGTCAAAACACAAAGGGACAGACCCGTCCACTAACCACATACTTGCCCAATCATGCATGGGATGGGATGGGGCACTTACAGCCTCGGCCTCGACGATGCGGAAGGGGAGGTCGGAGGTGACCACCAGCTTCGTGATCGCCTGCCGTAGCTGCACCGAGGCCAGTTTGGTTGTCATCCACCGCTCCATCCCGCCTGACCCATGACCTCCACCAGTCGCCATCCCTTTCCCCTTGGCGAGCTGCGGCCAAGTCTTGGCATGTGGCCACTGATAGACGTAGCCATCTGGCACTCCCTTGTAGCCCCCACGGGGAAACGTCTCCCCTGGCAAGTGAACGGACGGGGTGTGGTAACGGTGATGCCACACATGCATGTGCGCAGTGTGGAAGCTCGCAAAGTGCCGCTCGCCGGGGGTTGTTGTGGATTGCTCCCACGAAATCCTGTCTGTGCAAATCTTGCACTGACGCTTATCGTCTGCCCCTAACGGTCCGAACATCATTACTTGCCACCCCGGCTTCCTATTACCCTTGCCAGTCCCCTTACTACTCTCGGACCCTTCGTCCTCGTCTAGAAACTCGGGAGCGATCACACCCTCGCCCAAGGGCTCCCCAGTGAACGTGCAGGGATACGCCCGCTCCCTCAACTTGTTGGCCTTCTTCCTCTGCCTCGGCTCCCTAATGGTCACGGCCTTTCTCCCCCCCACCTTAACCCCCACGCTCCCTCCCCCTTCACGCACATGCTGTGATCCCGCCTCTGTCGCCGACCTTCCACCACCCTCTCCCACCTCCTCCTCCCGCCCCTCTGGCTCCAACCCATCCATCTCGTGGTCTTCATCATCATCATCTCCCCCCTCCCCACCGCCATGCGTCTCTGGGTCCCACGCCGCCTCGCTGTCACCCCCGCTCCCCTCAGTGTCCTCCTCCTTCTCACCCTCACCATCCTCCTCCTCATCCTCCTCCTCACTGCCGCTCTCCGGCTGCGTCTGCGTCTGCCCCGAAGGAGGGGGTCGAGGGCCGTCGTAACGGAAAGAGCGACGAGAGGTCGGCGCCGGTACGGTAAGCAACCCCCCAACGAAGATCGCGCCGGCTCCTCCCGGTCCATCCCCTACTCGCTCCTGCATAGGTCGTGGTGGAGATCCCGGTGCGCTGCCCTGAGCCCTGCCTGCACCTCGGCCTATGGATCCACCAGCCCTGGAAGCCATAACTCCGCCCTCGACCCTAAACCCTAAAACACCCTTCCTGCAACGGTAGCGTTGGATGGTGCCGCACGTTCCTAAACGTTATCCCGCACGGTTAGGTCTCTGAAATGCCCGATCCGAATCCTACGGCGTAGGATACACCCTACTTGAGCCCTTTGCGGAGATGCTGGCTGAACCTTAATAGTAACCCTAAACACCCTACACTACGTTAAACCCTATGCATAGATCTAATGTCCGTGTACATTGCAAGTATCAGCGTGCACTTGCTTGCACCTAGAACAAGGAGGCTAGGGCGGCTGTGTGAGGGAGCGCTAAGGCGAAAACGACTTCTGAGTTTGAGCTCACGAAATGAGCTCAAACACAAATTGGCCGCGACCTAAATCTGGTCGCGGCCAATTTTGACGCGAACCTTTTTGGTGTTCGCGTGGCCCCCAAGTCGAACACGAACATGTTCGTGTTCGGCTTGGAGAGCCGAAATTCTGGGGCGAACGTCGAACATGTTCGGCCGAACACCGAACATGTTCGGTCCGAACAATTTAGGCAAAAAAAATTGCCTGTTCGGTTCGCCTCGAACATGTTCGAGGCGAACCGAACAGGCGTTCGGGATTTTGCTCAGACTCTGACTGTTGCCTTGTCCACACAATGCTTCCCCGGCCACTCCCCTCCTCCATGCTCTCCTATACACCCTTATATCACTGCGCTGCTTCTCTGTGTGCTGCCGTGTGTGTGCTGCGTATGCTGCCATGCATGTGCGTGTGCTGCTGTGTGCATGCAAGCAGGTGGCAGTGGAGATGGCAACGCTCGAGTTCTTCTGCAACCGGCTCTCCATTGTTGCTCTCATGGAGCTCTCCACCTACCTCTCACCGCCACCACTCCCCTCCTCGCCAGCTGGCACAACAAGCGCAGCTCCTATGCCTCCCACTGCTAACCTCCCGGCCCCTGCTCTCCCGGCTGCTGCTTCCGCTGCTGATATTGGCAGCCCTGGGATGGAAGGCAGGAGCAACAGGGGAGGGGATGAAGGGAGGAAGGGAGAGGGTGTGGAGGAGAAGGGGGAGCGGGAGGGGCAGATGGGGCGGGAGGCGGTGAAGGGGTTGTTGGGGCGGGGCAAGGCGCGGGTGGTGTTTGGGCTGCACATGGCCATGCAGCACGCACGCGTCTTCCTTAACCTTGAGGACGGCAGACAGCTTGCCATGCTGGAACAGGAGAGGCTGAGCGTGCAGGTCAAGGTGAGCAGGAGAGGCTGATCGTGCTGCTTCTATTTCTCCCATCCCACGATTCACTTTGTTTTCCACCTCTTGCCCTTTTCTTATTTCTAGGACACGGATTTGCACATTTTTTTTTCCGTGTGTGATGCCTCAATCTCAGGTATTTCCGGCATCGACACGTGTCAACGCCTCATTGGGCAATCTGCGGCTGTGCAACCTGCAGCTGCCACCATCACACCCCTGGCGATGGTTCTGTGACCTGCGGGACAAGCAGAGCGCCTCGCTGGTTGAGGTGAGCCCATCGTGACCTGTGCTGCTGAGTCTATCAGTTCTGTCACTTACTCACGCTATCCTGCCACTGCTCCCCTGCTCCACCCTTCGTTTCCCCCCCTTTAACCACTGCCTTCCCCTTCCCACCTTGCCACACTCCATGGATGGTTGCGTGCCCCCGACCCCTGCCCCTTGAGCAGATAGAGTACAACTCATACAACCCGGACGACGACGACTATGAGGGCTTTGAGTACAGCATTGATGGCAAGCTGTCCGCTGTGCGCCTCATCTTCCTCTACCGCTTCGTGCAAGAGGTGAGTCACACATGGCCACCTGTCCCAGGAGGTAACAAGTGGGTGCAAGGGCGCTGCGATGCGTAATGTATCACCACTCGATGCCTGTGCTTTGCTTGACATCTCCCCCTCTTCGCCCCCACCCGTCCGCCTGCACCTGGCAGTTCATGGCGTACTTCTGGGGGGCTGGATCCGACTTGCTGCTTGTGATTCGCATGACGCCCCTCCCCTCCGCCCCCCTTCCCCCACCCATTTCCCCTCCCCCCCCCCCGGGCAGTTCATGGCGTACTTCTGGGGGCTGGCTGCGCCGGGGGTGCGGCAGGAGATGGTGGTGCGAGTGGTGGACGCGGTGGGCGGCATCGAGCGGCGCATCCAGCAGTGGGAGGTGGCGGGCAGCAGCGGCATCCGCTACAACGTCTCCCTTGACGCGCCCATCCTCATTCTGCCTCGCACCACCGACAGCCAAGAGTCAGTTGCTTGGAATTGCCACAGACAGACAGGAGTTGCTCTAGGGTGCTGCTCCGTTCACACCTGCACACATACTCCACTCCACTCCACTCTCTGAGCGCTCGAGGGACATGTCTCTCTTGAGCGCTTGGGCAGTGACTGGCATTGACATTTGCAGACCCTCCCTCCCGATACGAACGCTGTGTGCTTTGCTCTGTGCTGTGCTGTGTGCGGTGGCAGGTTCATGCAGCTGGGGCTGGGGCACATGGGCATCCGGAGCAGCGTGGAGTGGCGTGGTGGCAAGTCCATTGAGGATGCCGGTGCTGTGCGCTGTGATGTGATTACAGTGGAGGTGAGATGTGATTACAGTGGAGGTGAGATGTGATTACAGTGGAGGTGAGATGTGACTACAGTGGAGGTGAGATGTGATTACAATGGAGGTGAGATGTGACTACAGTGGAGGTGAGATGTGACTACAGTGGAGGTGAGATGTGACTACAGTGGAGGTGAGATGTGACTACAGTGGAGGTGAGATGTGACTACAGTGGAGGTGAGATGTGATTACCATGGAGGTGAATCTGGAGAGAGGTGCTTCCATCGCCTCCTTTGCCTGATCCCATGCTTTCCGGTGCATCTTCCATCCTTTCATCATCCCGCATCCTTCCTGCCATACTTCCCATGTCCCACGCCCCATGCCCTGTGCCTTGTGCCTCGTGCCTCGTGCCCCTTGCCCCACGCCACACCACATTCCACATGCCGCATGCATACCCCATTCCCCGTGCCCCATGCCCATGCCCCATGCCCATGCCCATGCCCCATGCCCATGCCCATGCCCATGCCCCATGCCCCATGCCCCATGTCCCATGTCCCATGTCCCCGATGCTCCACACCCCCTACCCCTGTTTGGCCGTGCATGCATCAGAGTCGAGACGTGAGTCTGCTGGTGGGAGCGGAGGGTGTGGCGGGGGCGGCCATGATAGAGCGCATGGCGGGGCTGACACTCACCATCCAGCGCCAACTCAGAGACCTCTTCAAGAAGCTGCCCACCTACCAGTTCCACATCCACGTATGCCCCCCCACCTTCCACTTCCACCATCACACATCCACTGTACGCCGTGCTGCACGTTCATTCTTCCTTGCTGTGAGTGCCCCCTTCATGCGTCTCCAAGCACTCCATTGCTGCTTGTACGCACCTGCACCCGTCCACCACCCCTGTTCTCCCCCCTCTCCCCCCCCGCGCTGATGGGAGCAGATGGGCGAGCTGAGGGTGGTGATGAGCCACCGCGAGTACCTCATCATCTGCGACTGCCTCTTCGCCAACCTCGCCGAGCCCCCTCAGCCCCCACCCTACTTCCGCCTCCCCCCGCCGTCCACCTCCTCGTCCACCCAGCCCTCCCATCCCACTCCCTCCGCCCAAGTCACGAGCCCCACCTCTCTGTCGTCCCCGCGCTCGCCCACGCCTCCATCCTCGCCCCCTCCTACTACTGTTGTGGCTGGCGGACAAACGGGCGAGGGCAAGGGTGCGCAGGGGGCACAAGGGGAAGGCGGGCAGGGGAGGGCAGGCGAGGTGGCGAAGGCGGGAGGGGCAGGAGGGGCGGGGGCAGCATTCACGTACTTCAGAGTGCTGGTGGACGTGCAGCACGTGCAGATGGAGCTCTTCACCGGCCACACCCGCGACTCCTCCCTCGCCCTGCTGCAGGTCCGTGCACTGCCTCGCCCTGCTGCAGGTCCGTGCACTGCCTCGCCCTGCTGCAGGTCCGTGCACTGCCTCGCCCTGCTGCAGGTCCGTGCACTGCCTCGCCCTGCTGCAGGTCCGTGCACTGCCTCGCCCTGCTGCAGGTCCGTGCACTGCCTCGCCCTGCTGCAGGTCCGTGCACTGCCTCGCCCTGCTGCAGGTCCGTGCCCTCCCTCGCCCTGCTGCAGGTCAGTCGCTCCCGTGCTCTCCCGCAGGTCAGTCACTCCCTTGCCCTGCTGTAGCAGTGCCAGGCCCTGCTTCAGGTTGCCACATGCTGTGCGTCATGGATACTCCTCTGCCTCTTCTCCCTTCCCCCCCACACACCTGTGGTCAGATCGAGGGGCTGTGGGTGGAGTACCGAACAACCAGTGCGCGGGAGATGGAGGTGATGCTCTCACTGCCCACCATGGCCATCATCGACCGCCGCGCCGCCACGCGCCAGGAGCTGCGCCTCATGATGGGCTCCGCGCTGCACGCCCACTCCCATGCACCGCCCGCCCCCCCGGGGCACGGCGAAGTGCCGGCAGGGGTTAAGGCAGGGGGGGCGGCAGATGAGGGAAGAGGGCGCCAGATGGGGGGAGGGTCACCGCCAGTGGCGCTGAGCATGGTGGTGCTGAACTACTCCACTCGCCCCGCTGCGCGCGCCGTGGTGCTGCGCTTCCAGCGGCCTCGCGTGCTGGTGGCCCTCGACTTCCTCCTCGCCGTCACCCACTTCTTCTTCCCTTCGCTCGCTGCCTCCTCCGGCAACGACACTGACAGGGACGAGCGAGACGACCCTGCCAGCCTGGCGCATGCTGTGGTGCTGACAAGTGGCACGACGCGACAAGCGAAGGCGGTGGTGACGGTGTCACCGCAGCGGCAGCTGATAGCGGAGGCGGCGGGGGTGGACGAGTACGAGTACGACGGGTGCGGGGGGGTGCTGCGCCTCCTGCCCTCTGATGCCCAGGGGGGCACAGCCGTGCCGGCGGGCAAGCAGCAGGGCGAGGGCGTGGCGGGCGGGCCGGTGATAGTGGTGGGCAACGGGAAGCACCTGCGCCTCAAGAACATCACTGTGGAGGTGCGCCGCTCCCACCCTGCCTCACCTCACTGCATGCTCACCTCATGCTTGGCCATTCCAGGTCATGGAGGCCCTCACCGCATGTGTTTCCTCATAACGTTCTGCGGCTTTCTCGCCCGAAATCTCTCCACCCTCTCCTCCCCCCCTTCCCTGCCCTCACACACCGTGAGCACAGAGTGCGTGGGCGTGGGAGCAGAGTGTGTACCTGGGGTGCGACAGCAGCTTCACTGCCGACCCTGAGGACGGGGTTATCTGGCGCCACACCCCCCTCGCTCCTGGCCCCAACGCTGCTGGGGGCGCAGGCAGCAGAGAGAGCAGCGGGGCGGAGGCAGGAGGTGCAGGGGTGGGTGGGGAGGCTGAGGTGCCTCCGGAGCAGACCTCCTTCTCCTTTGACCTTCAGGTGCGCGGACTGTACCTTCAGGTGTGGGTGATTGTACTGGTGTTACCCTCAGGTGTGGGTGATTGTACTGGTGTTACCCTCAGGTGTGGGTGTGACCTCTTTACACCCGCATCCCTCCGCTCAACCCCACTATCAGACATGCCCCTCTTGTTCGAATCCCTTTCCTAACCCCCCCCCCCCCGCCCCTCCATACCCCCTTCTCCCAGGCGGTGGGGCCGGAGCTGACGTTCTACGACAGCACCAAGTGGCCTGCCGGCATCCCCTTCCGCCCTGAGAGGATTCTGCGCGCCTCCTTTGACGTCAGCCTGCTGTGAGTGACGTCAGCCTGCTGTGAGTGCTGCTCTCACTGCTGCTCACAGGGGTGCTCATATCAGCCTGTTGTGAGGTTAGCTGGGCTGGTGTGTGAGGAGGGGGGTGGGGCTTGCCTTGCACGCCATCCACTCCATGCCTCGCAGCCGTGCCCCTCCTCCACTCGTTGCACAGCTGTTAGTGGCTCATCGCTGGACAGCAGCAACAGCAGCGGCCGCTGCCGCTGTGGGGCAACTCGCCTCACCTCACTTCCCCACCCCCCCTTCCGCTCCTCACTGCATGGGCAGGTATGCGGCCAAGGGCGCGGACACGTGGGTGAAGGGGACGGTGCGCGGGCTGCTGGTGGAGACGGCAGCGGGGCTGGCGGTGGTGGAGCCGGTGGACGCCCACTGTGAGCGCGAGTGCGTGGCCGGCAAGACCTCCCTCGAGCTCGCCTGCACCGATGTGTCGCTGCGCCTGCCCTTCCACTCGCTGCGCCTGCTGCACCGCCTGCACGCCGACACCGCTGCCGCCCTCAAGCTGGGCGGCGGGCCCGTGGCGGTGCGGTGCCGGCAGTTCGACCGCATCTGGAACTCCGGTGGGTGCCTCCACTCTCGGTAGTCGGACAGCGCTTGCTCGCCATGTCTCTCTCTGGTGCGGTGCTCTCATCAGCAGTAGGCATGGCTTTGCCGCCCTTTGCTGTGCTCTCACCACTCTTGCCCTCCTCCTTGCACCCTGGTCGTGCACCCCCCGTGCACCCCCCGTGCACCCCCCGTGCACTCTCTTCTCTCCTCATGCACCCCCCGTGCTGACAGGCACAGACTCACAGGAGGGAAGGGAAGGAGGGGAGGGCGAGCAGCCCATCACGCTGTGGCGGCCCTGTGCGCCTGCAGGCTATGCCATCCTGGGCGACTGCGCCACGGTGGGGTGAGCCCATCATAGCTGATCTGAGTTTCCCTCAGCTGTTAATTATTTGGGGCACTCACCACTGCGTGTTGCCCTCATCTGCACTGCGTGTTGCCCTCATCTGCACTGCGTGTTGCCCTCATCTGCACTGCGTGTTGCCCTCATCTGCACTGCGTGTTGCCCTCATCTGCACTGCGTGTTGCCCTCATCTGCACTGCGTGTTGCCCTCATCTGCACTGCGTGTTGCTGTCCTCCCTCTGCACCTTGTCTCCATGCTGCCCTGCCATCTTCTTTTCTTCTTCACCTCCGCACATCTTCTCTTGTATTTCCACCCCACCCACCACCCCCTACGTGTGTGGGTGCCACACATGGCAGGGCGGCGCCACCAGAGCACGCGGTGCTGGCGGTGAGCACGGCCTTCAGGCGTGTCAAGCGCCCCCTCGGCTTCTCCCTGCTCTGGTGCTCCCACGCGCCCGCTGCCGCCCCAGCACAGGAGGCAGCGGACGTGGCAGCGGGCGGGGAGGGAGGGGACGACACGCACTGCCGCATCTGGCTGCCGCTGGCGCCGCCCGGCTATGCTGCGCTGGGATGCGTGGCGGCCGTGGGGCGAGCGCCGCCACACGTGTCCACGGTGCACTGTGTGCGCTGCGACCTGCTCACGCCCTCCTCCCTCAGCGACTGCATCTTCTACCGGTGGGCCCTGCATTGCCATTACTGCTTCCCTGCTGCCACGCTCATGTACCTACTGCTGCATCATTCCGATCCGCTTCCGCCTTGTTTTCTGCTGCCCCTTTTTCTCTCCGCGTCGCTCCTTGCGAGATAGGTAACCCCCTGCTCCCATGCCCATCTCTACCACCATGCTCATCCCGTGCCCCTGCTCCTTGCTTCCCCATCACACGCTTATCAGCCCGGGTGCCAGGTCGCCTACGAGTGACGCTAGCGGCACGGAGCGGGGTGGCAACACCGGGGGCGGGGCGAGCATGTGGGTGGTAGGCAACTCCATGCGCACCTTCTTCGCCTGCCAGGGCACGGCCCCGCCACCACCCGCCGTGCTGAGGGACCTGCGGGAGGATCTGCGCTTCCACCCCGCCACCACCGCACCCGACCCTGATGACACCGACCCAGAAGCTTCCTCTCACTCCCCCACCTCCACGTCGCTCACCCGCGTGCCTTCCGGGCGGTTAGAATCGCTCGCCCGCCTGCCCTCCTCGCGCTTCCAACCGCCCCTCGCTGCCTCCGCCTCCGCTCTGGCTGGTGCGGCGGGGGCGGCGGCGCGGCCATTCGTGCCGGCGGCGAGCTTTGAGCGCGTGTGGTGGAGCAAGGGCGCGGCGGGCGTGACAAGCCACGTGAGCTTCTGGCGGCCGGTGGCAGTGCCGGGCTATGCCATGCTGGGCGACTGTGTGGCGGACGGGTGAGGCAGCAGCGCAGCACACTCTGGAGCTTGCCGTGATGTTCATGCCTGCATGCCACACTCGCATACTGCAACCCTTGCATGCACTAGCTCTGCACAGCCATGGCCTGTCCTCTGCCATCACTCTGAACTGGCCCCGAATTTCCCGGGCCCCCTCCCCCCTTGCAGCTTCGACCCACCTGACGCGGGGCTGCTGCTGCTGGACGACCTGGACTCGGGCCGCGTGGCGGCGCCCCTCAGCTTCCTGCACAAGCTCACCCTCGCCGCACCCGCCTGGCCAGAGGAGGCCTCCGTGTGGTTCCCCCTGGCGCCGCCCGGCTACGTGGCGCTGGGCTGTGTGGTGACGCGCGGCCGCGAGCCCCCTTCTGCCGGGCTGGGTGTGCGCTGTGTGCGAGCTGACCTGCTGGCGCCCAAGGGCTTTGCAGGCCGGCCGGCATGGACTGTTGGTGTGCCGCCCAAAGGAGAGTCCATCGCCAGCTTCTGGCCCGTCATCAACCAGGTGGGGCGGTGGGAGTGGGGCGGTGGGAGTGGGGCGGTGCGGTGGGAGTGGGGCGGTGAGAGTGGGGGTGGGGCGGTGAGAGTGGGGGTGGAGGGAGTGGGTAAAAGTTGTTCTGAGAGTGCATTCCTGATTCTTGAGTCCCGCTTTCCCCACCGATGCAGTGTTGCATGTTTAACTGAGCCCTTGGCCTTGTGCCTTGTGCGCTGCTGCTCTCATGCCATGTGCCATCCGCATCCGCACGCCTGCCCTGAAACCTAACCCTAATGGCAGGCGGGCACGTTTCTGGTGCACAGCGATGCGCGGCGGCCACCGCAGCGGATGGGGTATGGGCTGGCGGAGCTGGAGAGGCCGGAGCGGCCCGACAACTTTGATGCCAACCTGCGCACGCCCCGCGTCTCCCTCACCCTCTTCGACGACGTCTCCGGCGTTGTGAGCCTGCTGCCTCTCTCTGCCTCTCTGCCTCTCTCTGCCTCTCTCTGCCTCTCTCTGCCTCTCTCTGCCTCTCTGCCTCTCTCTGCCTCTCTCTGCCTCTCTCTGCCTCTCTCGGCCTCTCTCTGCCTCTCTGCCTCTCTCTGCCTCTCTCTGCCTCTCTCTGCCTCTCTCTGCCTCTCTCTGCCTCTCTCTGCCTCTCTCTGCCTCTCTCTGCCTCTCTCTGCCTCTCTCTGCCTCTCTCTGCCTCTCTCTGCCTCTCTCTGCCTCTCTCTGCCTCTCTCTGCCTCTCTCTGCCTCTCTCTGCCTCTCTCTGCCTCTCTCTGCCTCTCTCTGCCTCTCTCTGCCTCTCTCTGCCTCTCTCTGCCTCTCTCTGCCTCTCTCTGCCTCTCTCTGCCTCTCTCTGCCTCTCTCTGCCTCTCTCTGCCTCTCTCTGCCTCTCTCTGCCTCTCTCTGCCTCTCTCTGCCTCTCTCTGCCTCTCTCTGCCTCTCTCTGCCTCTCTCTGCCTCTCTCTGCCTCTCTCTGCCTCTCTCTGCCTCTCTCTGCCTCTCTCTGCCTCTCTCTGCCTCTCTCTGCCTCTCTCTGCCTCTCTCTGCCTCTCTGCCTCTCTCTGCCTCTCTCTGCCTCTCTCTGCCTCTCTCTGCCTCTCTCTGCCTCTCTCTGCCTCTCTCTGCCTCTCTCTGCCTCTCTCTGCCTCTCTCTGCCTCTCTCTGCCTCTCTCTGCCTCTCTGCCTCTCTCTGCCTCTCCCTGCCGCCTCTGCCCCTCCTCGCCCCTCCCGTCCCCTCCCTCCCCCTCCATGCCCATCGTCTCCCTTCACATTCCTTGGCCATTTATCTCCCTTATTCCTGCTTGCCATTTCACACTAAGCACATGCCGCCAATGGTCATCCTGAATGTCCTGCTTTTCATGTCTGCCTGCGCTCCTTCCAACGTGTGCTGTCCCCCCTGCCATGGCGGCCTTGCATTCATGGGCCTCGTTTTGGGGCATGGGGCATGGGCCACACAGATGGTGCCATGGGTGGACGTCACAGTGGAGGGCATACACCTGACGCTGCACGGCCGCCCACACGCGCTCAATGCCGTGGTGCTCACATCCGTGGCGGCCTCCTCCTTCAACTCGCACCTCGCCCTCTGGGAGCCGCTGCTCGAGCCCTTCGACTCCATCTTCAAGTACCCCCCCACCCGCCCCCCCACTGCCACCGCTCCTCTTCTGCTGCTCAACTTGCCACCAATCTTGCTGCGTTGTCTTCCTTCTTGCCGCATTTGTTTGCCATGCCTTTTCTTAGCCACCGCATGCAGCATGCCTGTCAAGGTGGGGTGACGCCACGCAGTGGCAGTGGCAGTGGCAGTGGCAGTGGCAGGCAGGCAGGTGGCTGTGCTCAGCAGTGCCCCATGTGCATGCCACCCGGCCCCACAGGTACGAGTGGGAGGGCGAGGGCAGCGAGGAGGCGGGGGCGGCGGGCAGTGTGCAGATGCGGGTGACAGCGACGAGTGTGGTGAACGTGAACGTGACGGCCACCAGTGTGGACGCCCTCACTGCCGCCACTCATGGGTGGAGCAAGCTCGTGCAGCACGAGGCTGACGCCAGGCGCGCCCTGCTGCAGGTGAGACACGCCTGGGGCTGTGTACGTGCAGCCATGTGTGTGTGTGTGTGTGTGTGTGTGTGTGCGTGTGTGTGTGTGTGAGTGTGTGTGTGTGTGTGCGTGCGTGCGCGCATGTGTGCATGCATCTGTCTGCATAAAAAGATGACATCACTCAATCCGAATACACCCTGCACGTCTCCATAATCACTTCACTTCTCTCCTTCACATGTTTGCCTCAGGGAGCATCACCAGCAGCAGCATCACCAGCAGCAGCAGCGGCAGCAGAAGGGGAAGGAGGGGGGAAGGAGGGAGGGGAGGAGGGGGGAGTGGCGGTGGACAGGGAGGACGCCCTGCGAGTGCTTGTGGACAACCGCCTGGGCGCCCCTCTCTACGCGCGCTCCGCCAAGGACGCCTTCGCCCACCTCTACACGCTGCCGCCCGCCCACACGTCGTCCGTGCCGCTGCCGCCCTTCCAGTTCCCCGACATGCTGCGCCCCTCCGCTGTTGCTGGTGTGGGCGGCAAGCGCCGGCACAGCACGCGGCGCTTCATGGCTCTGCGCCTCATTGAGGGGCTGGTGAGGCACACTGGGAGGCGGGCTAGAGGGGCTGGTGGGGCTGGTGAGGCGTATGGGAGGGTTTGGTGAAACGTGGTGGGATAAGGTTCGGGGCTAGGGCTGGGCTGGTGAGTCTAGATGGAGGGTATGGAGATGTGGGAGATGCTGGATGGAAGTGCGTATGGGGCCCCGGCCCGGTAGCGAGTTGCTCACACACTCACTCGCCACGTTCCTCTTGCCCTGGTCCGTCCTGCCCCACCAAGCTCTCCCCCTCGTCCTTACAGCCACCGTGCACACCTGCCACCCTTTTGTGCCGCCCCAATGACTGCATGTGTGCAGGACCTACCGGGCAGCGAGTTGAACGGGGAGGACTTCATCTGCAAGCTGCGCGTGGCGCAGGCGGGCGCCCAGCCGCTGGCCAAGGGGCAGCAGCTGCCGCAGACTGCCCGCTCGCGCGCCATCCGCCCCGCAGGGGGGCTGGCATGCCCGCATGCGCGCGAGGGCATGGGGTGTGCCATGCCACGAGGAGGGGCGCAGGGCGGAGCGGGAGAAGGGGGCGAGGGCGGGAGAGCAAAGCTGTGGCGAGTGCAGTGGAACGAGGTGTTTGTGTTTGAAGTGCCGGCCCAGGTTTGTGTCTCTGTGTGTACGCGCGTCACTGCACTGCACGCACGTTCTTCACTGTACACATGCGCACCACTGTACACACACATGTACAGGGCTGGCCATCCCCTGTCCTGCCACCTGCCTGCCTGCATGCTGCTGTGCGCTCACATCTCCCTGCATGCTTCTGTGTGCCGTGTGCTGCCCTCCCTCCCCCCTGTGCGGTGGGGCATGGCATGGTGTGGGTGGGTGACTGGGAGGGTGGGAGCAGAAGGAGTCGCGGCTGGAGGTGGTGGTGAGCAACCAGGCGGCCAACGCAGGGCGAGGGGCCACGGTGGGCACGGCAGCTGTGCCCATGACTGCTGCCGCCGCGCCCACCCTCTCCGACTGGGCTGCCGTCACCGACGCCCTCGGCATCGGCGGTCTCCACCCCGCCTCCCAAGCCACTCAGCACACCCTGGTGCTGCACCCGCCCAAGAGGAAGCAGCAGCAGCAGCAACAACAACAACAACAACAGCAGCAGGTAAGACATTAGAGTTCTGAGTTTGGGCCACATTAGCCTGTCATCTGCCTTGTGCTCACTAACCTTTTCCCTCTCCACCTGCCACCACCCTGCCCGCCACCTGCTGCTGCCCGTGTGCACACAGGCCTCGCCTCGCCTGCGCATTGCAGCGGTCTTCTTCACCGTGGGCCCCAGCGGCCATCTGCTGGCCCACCAGCAGCAGCAAGAGAAGGCGTTGGCAGAGGCCGGCCAGGAGCAGCCGGACTGTCTGATCCAGCTGGCGTGCCGCCCGGATGGCGAGTGGTGTTGGGTGCGCTCCATGGCCGGCATCATGACCCTGGCGCTCGCACTGGAGGGACGGCCTGTGGCAGCGGAGCTGGGGGTGCGGGGGGGCCTCAAGTGCGTGACGCTGCGCTCGCTGGTGCTGCTGCGCAACGCCACGGACGCGCCCGTGGACGTGTGTGTATGCCCCTTCGTGCTGCTCGACTTTGCAGACGAGGATGCGGAGGAGGAGGTGGAGGAGGAGATGTATGAGAACCAGCGGTACCAGCCCATGCTGGGGTGGGGCTCGCTGTGGCCCGGCCACTTCATGCCCGGCGACCCGGCGCGCTTCTCAGCGCTGGACCTCTCCCACGCGTGCCAGGACCTGCCCGAGGCGTGTCCGCGCGGGTGGGCGTGGGTGGGAGCGTGGCACCGCGACCAGGCAGCACCCGGCGACATGGAGGGGTGGCTGTACGCGCCCGACTTCCGCTCGCTGGCGTCACCCGACGCGCTGGCGAACGTGGCGCACAGCAAGGGCCCCTTTGACTTTGTGCGCCGCCGCCGCTTCACGCGCACGCGGCGCCGCCTGCCCCGCCCGTCGGGTGCGCCCAAGGAGCACGTGCGCACGGCCCTGGGGACGCTGGCTCCCGGTGACTCCCTCTCGCTGCCCTGGGGCTGCCTCTCCCCCGGCTCCGACTGGTGCCTGCAGGTTCGGCCCAAGGCTGCTGCAGGCTCGGCAGGCAGCAGCAAAGGGAGTGAGAAGTACGGGTGGAGCCGGCTGGTGCCTGGGGCGTCGGGCAGCGGTGGGGAGGGCAGTGCGGGGGCGGGCAGCAGGGCGGAGGCAGCGCGGCGGCAGCAGCTGGCGACAGCGTTTGTGCTGCCGGACCTAATGCGGGCGGCGTCGTGGGAGAAGGGCGGCAAGCGCGAGGAGCTGCTGCAGTGCCGCGGCACGCGCGGGTGCTGGTGGTTCTGCCTGGAGGCGGATGGGGTGAAGCTGCAGGGCGGGGAGGGCATGGGGGCGGCGGGGGTGGTGGACTGGCGGGTGACGCTGCGGGCGCCACTGCAGCTGGAGAACCGGCTTCCATGCAGCGCGGAGTACTTCGTGTGGGAGAAGCCCAGCAGCAGCGCGGCCCAGGGGGCGGGCAGCATGGTGGGCGCGTCGCGGTCGGTGGCTCGGCAACATGGCGTGGTGGGGCCAGGCGAGGCGGTGCATGCGTACAGCATTGACATCCGCTGCCCCGTGCTGCTCTCCTGGCTGCCTCAGGGTGGCTGGAAGCAGGAAAAGGTGAGTGCAGTGCAGCAGCCCTTGCTGCCCATTAGTTGTTCTTCTTGTGCTCCTTTGGTTGCACTCCCCCTGCACCCCACTCCGCCTGCGAGTGCGTGCGTGCACAGCCAATCCACATGCTGCACACACTCCCCCCCCTTTTCTCCCCCCTATGAGCGCACAGGATGCGGTGCTGCTGTGGGACCCGCTCACCCACGAGGTGCCGGGTGGCTTCTGGATGACCAACGTGCAGAACAAGCGGTGAGAGCAAATGGGGGGTAGGCAGAGCAAGCAGTGTAGGAGGGGGGGCCAGGAAGAGCAGGCGGTGAGAGGAGGGGGGCAGGAAGAGCTAGCAATTAGAGGAGAAGGGAAGGCAGAGGAGTGGGTGAGGTGTGCTTAAGAGGTAAAATTGGACACAAACGATGCGTCCTTTGCACTTTGCACCTTGTAGCTTGCAGCGGGTTCATCCGTTGCACCTGCAATCTCTGTGTCACTGCTGCATTCAGCCTTTCAAGCCACCCTTGTGCGCCCTCCCCCCCACGTTGCAGGCGCCTGCATGTGAATCTGGAGGTGAGTGGCGGGGCATCAGAGGCATCAGCGCGGGTGGTGCGGGTGTTTGTGCCCTTCTGGCTCGCCAACCACTCCTCCATGCCCCTCGCCTGCCGCATCGTCGAGATCGAGCCGCCCCCGGGCGCCACAGCAGCAGCGGCGGCAGCAGCGGAGTCGCTGTGGCAGATGCCCACGCGCTCCCTCTCCTCGCGCGCGCTCAGCCTCTCCGCCTCCGCCAGCACGCGCCAGGCCGTGGCGGCGGCGGCGGCAGCGCCGGGGGTGGGGGCGGTGGGGGCGAGCAAGGTGGTGCGCAGCCTGGAGGACATCGAGGAGGCCCCGCAGCAGCAGGCCGTCATGCTCTCACTGCCCTCCGTGGCCAACGTGGGACTCGCTGTGGCGCTCTCCAAGGGGGGCGTCTTCAGCTCCGCCATCCCCCTCACCGCCTTCCAGGACAAGGTGCAATTGGCCCCCCCCCCCATGTCACACAAAAGACAATTTGGACAAGTCGTGCGTCGGAGGGTGGTCTCTGGCTGTTTTTGCCCACGTGATTGCCTGCATGGAAACACCCTTTTTAACTTCCGTCTCAACACTGTATGTGCTTACTCTCCCTTCCCTCAACTCCTTTCTTGCTTTCACCTGCCCTCCCCCCCTCCCCCCCTTCCCCCCCCTCGCTCTTCCCTGCGCCATGCATGTCCTCCCTGGGGGCCGGGAGCAGATGGAGCGGGCGGACCTCAAGGCGGTGGACGCAGCAGGCAGTTATCTGCGCCTCTCGCTGTCCCTCGACATGTCCTCGCTGCGCTACGAAGGCACCAAGGTACCGCGCCCCTCTCACCCCCACCCACTTCACATGCACCAGAGGCCTCTCTGCATGGCTCTCCGTCTCGCTGCACTCACCTCCTCCTCCCCACAATGCACTTGCTCTCACGCTCCACGCTATCATGACTGTGTGCATCCCCGTGCTCCCCCATGCGCGTGTGTGTGTGGCTGGTGCCGGCTGGCAGGTGATCCGCCTGCAGCCGCACACGGTGTTCTCCAACCACACCGGGCGGCCGCTGCACATCAGGCAGGCGGACGGCAACATCGTCCGACACCTGGCGCCTGCTGATTCGATGAAGCCCATCGTGTGGGAGTCCATCTGGCTGGCTGAACACTTGCAGGTGGGTGCCATGGTGGCAGGTGGGTGCCATGGTGGCAGGTGGGTGCCATGGTGGCAGGTGGGTGCCATGGTGGCAGGTGGGTGCCATGGTGGCAGGTGGGTGCCATGGTGGCAGGTGGGTGCCATGGTGGCAGGTGGGTGCCACGTGGGCGGTGGGTGTTGCGTGGGCAGTGAGTGCAGGTTGGGTGATGCACAGCACAGCTGTTAGAATTGAACCAGTCACTTGATTAGGAACCATGAGGGTTTACATAGTGGAAGCTAGGGGAGGGGGGGTTGGTTGGTTACCTAGCCAACATTATTGGCCCCCCACCAATAAGTTGGGTTGGAGAATTATTGGGGGGTCCCAATAATGTTGGCCAAAGGTGGGCCAACATTATTAGGGGGGCCAATAATCTCCCAACCCAACCTTGGAGGCCACTAATTGGACCAAAGTTGGGTTCCAACCCCCAACTAGGGTTAACCCTAGTTGTGCACCCAAACATAGTTTGGGTGCCTATCTCTATCCTAGGGTTTATAGGATCAATGCAGGATACAGAAGAGTAGTATAGTCTAACACAACCCCTTAGCCTGCATAGATCCATAAACCTGGATGAGATAAGACAGCAACCCCTGAATCAGTCACCATGGGGAGCAAGGCCCAGGAGGGGCAAGAGTGCCGAGTGAGTAGCGCGGCCGAGGGCTTTAGTGAATATGTCCACGGGGTTGGAGGACGAGTCGATTTTGCGCACGGTAATGTGACCATCCTGGACAAGATCGCGGACGAAGTAGTATCGGAGCTCGATATGCTTGGAGCGACCATGGAACACAGCTTCTTTGGTGAGGTGGATGGTGCTGGCGTTGTCACACCAGAGAGTGGGACAGAGCTGTGGTGAGCCAAGGTCTGTGAGGAGATAGGTGAGCCAGCGTGCTTCCTGTGCTGCCATCGTGACCGCGTAAAGTTCAGCCTCGCACGAGGAGAGGGCGATGGAGGAGGAGCGGGTGGAGCGCCAGCTAATGAGGCCACTCCCAAGGGTGAAGCCATATCCTTGTGAGCTGCGACGGTCAGGCTGTGAGTCCGCCCAGGACGAGTGGCTGAAGCCAGTGAGAACCGGCGGGTCTGCTCCACCAAGGGTGAGGGTGTAATCCTTCGTGTGCTGAAGGTAGCGTAGGACACGCCGGGCCGACGTCATGTGTTCCTCTGTGTGCCTGCCGACACCAACGAATCGCGCCAGAACACTGACTGGGTAGGCAAGGTGGGGGCGGGTGCAGACCATGGCGTACATCAGGGCCCCGACAAGCTCTGCATAGGGGTTTGAGGAGTCGGTGGGGGTGTTAGGGGGCGCGAGCTGGTGCCCAACTGCAAGCGGGGTGGCGATGGGCTTGGCTTTTGACATTCCAAACCTCTCAAGGACCTTCTCAATGTAGAAGGATTGAGAGAGGGAGATGGCCTTGAGGTCGCGGGTGATCTCCATGCCAAGGTAGTTGCGAACCTCCCCCAGGTCTTTGCAGGCGAGTCGACGCTGTAGTTCGTCCTTGACCTCCTGCATCTCAGCATATGTGTCAGCGGCTAGTAGCATGTCGTCGACGTAGACGAGAATGTAGAAAGGTGACGGAGCCGTCCGAAGGAAGAGGCTGGAGGCCGCTCGGGAGGGGCGAAAACCAAGCTCGTGAAGGGTGGAAGAGAGCTTGGCATGCCACTCCCGGGGTGCCTGCTTGAGGCCGTAGACGGGCCGCAGCAGCTTCCAAACGGTGGACGGGTTATGTGGAGCATGAAAGCCTTCGGGGCGTTCCATGAAGATGAGTTCGTGTAGGTCGCCTTGGAGGAAGGCGGTAGTGACATCCATGGAGTGTAGCAGCATGCCGCGTCTGCCGACGAAGTCGAGGAACACCCGAACGACCGGTGGGGTAGCAGTGGGTGAGTATGTTTCAAAGAAGTCAAAGCCGTGCTTCTGCGTGAAGCCCTTCGCCACATAGCGAGCTTTGTAGACAGGGTCTTCGCCAGGGAGAAGCTTGACACGGAAGAGCCATTTGCCCTTGACGACATTGGTCTTGGCAGGGCGAGGGACATCGATGAAGGAGCGGTTGCGGATGAAGGCGTTGCTTTCCTTGACCATGACTTCAATCCAGAGCGGCGCGTCGAGGCAGGCAATTGCCTCCTCGTACGTGGTGGGTTCGAAGATGGTGGGGTTGCCCGAGAAGAGAAGAACTGGAGTGCCTGCCATGGTGCGGACGATGGGGGCGATGGAGGGCGCGAGGAGGTGGAGGAAGAGGAGTTCGTCGTGGGTGTCTTCATAGAGGAGAGGAGAGAGAGGAGGAGGAAGAGGGGGTGGTGAAGATGCAAGACAGCTGCGCTGAAGGTCGAGTCTGCTACATGGAAGTGCTGCTGCTCGGCTGCGCGGTGGTGCTGTCAAGAGTGTGGAGCGGTTGCGCAGTGGATCTGGAGTGAGGGGGCTGAAGCGGGGGGGGAGGGAAGTACTGGTGAGGGCGAGGAGGGAGGGGGGGGAAGTCTGTGGGGAACCAAAGATGGGGTCCAGGGAGCGGGTGTTGGGATAGCGGGGAAGGACAAGGGTAGGGGAGGGGCGTTGGGGAAGAGGGGGGGGAGGCGGAGGGGGGGGGGGCGGATTAGAGGAGGGGAGGGGGGATGGAGGGGAAGGGGGCGGGGGAGGTGGAGGAGGGGGAGGAGGAGGAGGGAGGTGAGTTGCAGCGGAAGGTGAGGTAGTGGAGTGGGAGGGGGAGGGGGGGGGTGGGTTAAGGATGTCGCCGGAGGAGCTGGAGGAGAGTGGAGGGGGGAGGGGTGGAGGAGCGGGGGGAGGGGTCATGGCAGGGGACGGGAGGAGGGGCAGGGTGTCAGTCCAGAGAAGGGGCCGGGGAAATGGGGGAAGGGGGTTAGGGGCGGAGGGGGAGGTGTAGTACGGGGTGGCCTCGTCAAAGACCACGTCCCGACTACGGATGAGGCGGCCTGAGGGGGGGTGGAGGAAAAGGTAGTCAGGTGAGTTGGAGTTGTGTCCAAGGTAGACACAGGGGAGTGTGCGGGACGCAAGCTTTCCACGTGCGCGTGAGCGATCGGCAGGGTGTATGAGGACATACGCCTTGCAACCCCAGACACGCAGAGGAGATATGTCAGGCTTGCTGGAGGTCCATAGTTCGGTGGGGGTGGAGGTGGGACGGGAAGGGTGGGGGTAGAGGTTAGTGAGGATGGCAGCGTGAAGGATGGCATAGCCCTAAAGAGAAGGTGGGCAGGAGGCGTGAACGAGGAGGCACGAGCAGTTTTGGTGATCTCCCGAACGCGGCTCTCCGCCACACCATTCTGCTGAGGGGAGTGAGGGAGAGTGTAGGTGTGGAGGATGCCGTGAGAGGTGTAGTAGGAGGACAAGGTGCGGTTAAGGAACTCACCGCCTCCATCGGAATGGAAGCGGCGAACAGGGCGACCGAAGTGGTTGCGTGCTTGTTCAGCCCAGGCAGTGATTGCATCCGGGGCCTCCGCCTTCGTACGAAGGAGGGTGACGGAGGAGTAACGACTGTGATCATCCACCAGGATGAGGAGATAGCGATGTCCTTGCCTGGTGGGGGAAGGGTTAGGGCCCCAAAGATCCATGTGGACGAGGTCAAGGGGTTGGAGGGAAAAGGAGGGGTTACTCGTGTGTGGTTGTTGCTTCAGCTTGCTTTCAACACAAACTGAGCAAGGAGGGGAGGGGGAAGGAGGGAGGGGGGAAAGGGTAAGGGGAGACCGTCAAGGAGTTTAGTGAGGATGGATCGGCGAAGGGTGGCAAAGTTGGGATGGCCTAGGCGATGGTGGAGGAGAATGGTGGGGTGTGTGAGATCACGACAGTGACAGGGGGAGGGTGAGTTGGGGGAGGGGGAGGGGGAGGGGGAGGGGGAGGGGGAGGGGGAAGGGGGGAGGGGGGGCGGGAGGTTCGAGAGGAGGGGAAGGGGCGGGGGGATGGGCTGTGGAGAGTTGGTGAAGCGTGGGACGGGGGATGCGGAAGGTGTACATGTGGGTGGAGGGGCACCGATGGACACGGCAGAGGAAGCGTCCGGAGGAGGTGTGAAATAAGTCACAATATGCTGCGTGACCAGGGAATAAGGTGGTGACACCTGCTGTTGAAAGGGCACCAAGGGATAACAGGTTGTTACGAAAGGAGGGGATATTGAGACCTGTGACGGTACCTGAGGGAAAGAGGGGACAGGGGAGTGTGGAGGTGTAACGGCTTTGTATAGCAAAGCTTGAGTCAGCCCCATAGATTGTGGAGGGGGTGGAGAGGGGGAAGAGCGTGCCTGCATCACGAAGGACCGTGTGTGTGGCTCCGCTGTCAAGGATGAACTCAAAGGGCTGAGGGGAGGAGGAGGACACGGAGTACTGGAATGAGGACTCATTAATAGCATTGGCATACATAGGATCATTGCAAGAGCTAGCAGTAGTGACATGACCTATGAAGCCCGTGGAAGGAAACGGTGTGAAGCCGGGGGGGTGAGAGGAGGAGGTGGGTTGTTCAGCAGCTGCGGCAGTTGCAGCAGTTGCGGTAGTTCCATGGCCATACATAGATGGGCAGTAGGGAGGGTAGGGCCAGCCGGCATAAGGAGGATAGAGAGGAGGATAGGGGGAGGGAGGGGTTTGAGGTGGGGGCGTGGGTGGAGGCGGAGTGATGGGGATGGAGGGCGTGGGGGTGGTGGTGGGTGTGGGGAGAAGGTGTTGGACTTGCTGGAGGACGTGAGGGGAGAGGTGCTGAGCGAGGACATTATGGAGGTTAGGTGGAGAGGGAGCATAGGTGGAGAGAGTGCGAATGTCATGAGGGGTGGGGCGAGGGGTGATGGTGTTCCAACGTGGAGGGGGGCCTGTGTTGCTGCGTGCAAGCCATTCATCAGTGAGGGCTTTGAAGCACGTTTCAGTTGGGTGAGTGGTCTGGTTGCAGGTCTGACCTTTGTTGGGGCCTTGACGAATGACGTACTGGCACGGGGGAAACCCACTTGTGGATGGAGTAGTTGCTCCACGTCTGCCGCGTTCCCCAGTGCGCCCTCCTCGTCCGCCTCCGCGACCGCCTCCTCGACCACCTCCGTTTGAGCCACGTCCAGGTCCACTGCTGCTGCTTCCGCCGGCGTTAGTGGTTCCTTTGCGAGCGTGGATTGCATTGACCGTTGCAGAGTCACGTAGGAGGTCAGCCTCACTGTCAAGGAGCCAGTCGATGGTAACAGCCATAGGAGGAGGACGAATGTGCTGGGTGGTGAAGTTGATGCGGTAAGTGTCATAGGTGGGTGGGAGGCTGTCAAGGATGCGTGCTGTAAGAAGGGTGTGTGAGATCAAGATGCCTCGATCATTGAGGCGTTGCGCAGTATCCGTGAGATGCCGAGCGAAGGAGGCGGCATTGAGGGAGGAGTCAAGGGTGATGTCTTGGAAGGTGCGAAAGAGGGAGAGGAGGGAACGTAAGTCCTGACGATCATATTGAGAGGAGAGAGACTTCCAAAGAGAGGGGGAGGATGGAGGGCGAAGGTCACGTTTAAGAGAGGAGGGAATGCACGAGAAGATGACAGTGAGTGCACGGTGGTCAGCAATGCGCCATGCAGCAGTATCGGAGTGGTGCTTACGAAGGTTAGTAGAGTATGCTTCGGAGGTGGCTTGAAACTCTGCAAGCTTTGCAGTAGCAGCTTCGTGAGCGGCGACGGCAGCCGCGTGTGCTCTGCCCTTGATGACATAGTCGTCCTGCTCCTTGTTGTACTTGTTGAGGGTGCGAGCCCACCTGTCTGGGTCATCCTCCCAAGCCCCTAGGATGGGGGCTTGAGGGGCGGGTTCGTCCGGGAGTGGTGGGGCGTCAGGGGGGGAGGAGCCTGGGAGCGGGGGCGGGGTGGGAGGGAGGCCGTGAGGCGTTTCGAGGACGACGTCAAGGAGGCAATAATCTCCCACTCGAACGGAGCCAAGGTACGTGAAGAGGCTCTCTTCAAACGACACCCAATTGACTGCGGTGGTGCCGTTGAGGAGCTCGAGTTTGTCTATTGAGGCGAGCTCAAGTGACGAAGGTTCGTCCGCCATGACGAGTGAGGGAGGGAGGGAGGAGGGGAGGGTGGAGGTGCTAGAGGTGACGACGCTGTCCGGAGGGACGGCGCGATCAGTGGTGGAGATGAGCTGCGTGCTGACCGCAGCTGGTTACTCCCCCGTCTGGTCGCGTTCACGGCTGCTGCCTGCGTCCACGGCGGCTGCCCGCGTTCGTCCCGTCCGCGGCGGCTGTCCGCGGATGTCGCGTCTGCGGCGGCTGCCCGTGTTCGTCCCGTCCGCGGCGGCTGTCCGCGGATGTCGCGTCCGCGGCGGCTGCCCGCGTTCGCCCTGTCCGCGGTGGCTGTCCGCGGATGTCGCGTCCGCGGCGGCTGCCCGCGTTCGTCCCGTCCGCGGCGGCTGTCCGCGGATGTCGCGTCCGCGGCGGCTGCCCGCGTTCGCCCCGTCCGCGGCGGCTGTCCGCGGATGTCGCGTCCGCGGCGGCTGCCCGCGCTCGCCCCGTCCGCGGCGGCTGTCCGCGGATGTCGCGTCCGCGGCGGCTGCCCGCGCTCGCCCCGTTCGCGGCAGCTGTCCGCGTTCGTCGCGTCCGCGGCGGCTGTCCGCGTTCGTCGCGTCCGCGGCTGACGGCCGCGTTCGTCGCGTCCGCGGCTGACGGCCGCGTTTGTCGCGTCCGCGGCTGACGGCCGCGTTCGTCGCGTCGGCGGTTGACGGCCGCGTTCGTCGCGTCCGCGGCTGACGGTCGCGTTCGTCGCGGCGGATGGTCGAGGCGAGGAGAGGAGCGCCGAGATGGCGCGAGGGGCACGGCAGAGCCGGCGGACGTGCGCTAAGAAGCGCGAGGGGCGCGGCAGAGCCGGGGAGATGTGCGCTTAAGTGGCGCGAGAGACGCGGCAGAGCCGGGGAGAGGTGCGCTAAGTGGCGCGAGAGGTGCGCTAAGTGGCGCGAGAGGTGCGCTAAGGGGCGCGAGAGGTGCGGCAGAGCCGGCGAGAGGTGCGCTAAGTGGCGCGAGGGGTCCTAGGATCTTGAGCGGCGTTAGCCGTAAAAGCTCTGATAGCATGTTAGAATTGAACCAGTCACTTGATTAGGAATCATGAGGGTTTACATAGTGGAAGCTAAGAGAGGGGGGGTTGGTTGGTTACCTAGCCAACATTATTGGCCCCCCACCAATAAGTTGGGTTGGAGAATTATTAGGGGGGTCCCAATGATGTTGGCCAAAGGTGGGCCAACATTATTGGGGGGGCCAATAATCTCCCAACCCAACCTTGGAGGCCAATAATTGGACCAAGGTTGGGTTCCAACCCCCAACTAGGGTTAACCCTAGTTGTGCACCCAAACATAGTTTGGGTGCCTATCTCTATCCTAGGGTTTATAGGATCAATGCAGGATACAGAAGAGTAGTATAATCTAACAACAGCATGGGTCATGGATCTCCTCCACCTTCCTTGTGCCTCCCCACTTCATGCCTTTCTTCTCCTATCTGCCTGCTGGCTTTGCCTCCGCCCTCATCCGACTCTCTCGAGTCCCACTCCCACCCTCAGGTGCGCATGGACGGTTGTGATTGGAGCCGCCCATTCTCAATCGACGGCGATGGCAGTGTCTTCGTTGTCATGCGCCATGCCGTGCAACCCAGCCGCCCACCCTCCATAGGACGGGCGGCGTGGGACGGCAGTGGGCGGCGGGGGCGGGAGCTGCTGCTGGCGGATGTGGTGGATGGCGCCAGTGCATGCCGCTACCATGTCGTCTTCACACTCGCTCCCCCCTATGGGCCCTACAAGTCAGTCTCCCCTTTTCCATCGACCCGACATCTCATCTCAGTTCAAGTTCCGGTGTACAATCAAGTGTGGCCCTACATTAGGTTCGCTCAATCGTTTTGAAGTTACTGTTGATGCAATTATCAGTCTGCTATATCCCTATATTCAAGACACTTTCTACCAATCATTGATGTCCTTCCTGCCCTTGCACTTCTCTCCGCATGTCAATCCGCCCGCCTGCCCTCCCCCTCGCAGGATAGAGAACCGCTCGCAGCTATTCCCGGTGCGGTACCGGCAGGCGGGGGCGGGGGACGAGGCGTGGGAGGCGCTGGCGGTGGGGGCGGCCAAGTCGTTTGCGTGGGAGGACGGGCGCGGGCTGCGCCTGCTGGAGCTCATGGTGGACGGCGCACACTCCTCCACGGCGCGCCGCGTGGCCATCGACGACCCCGCTGTGCTCGAGCCCGCCACCAACGCCTCTGGCCGCCCCGTCGCGCCGCTGCTCGTCACCGTCGCCCGAGAGCCCGCTCCGTCGGGTGGGGGGTGTGTGATGCGCGTGTGCCTGCACGACTGGCGCCCCTCCGACCCCTCCCTTGTCCACCTCGCCCTCTCCCTCACGCCCTCCTCCCTCCTCACCGCGCCTCCCCCTGCCCTCACGGTGGGGAGCGAGGGGTCCAGCGCGGTGGCGACAGCAGAGGGGGCGGGGGGCGGAGGGGAGCGGCGGGTGGTGGTGGTGGTGGAGGTGGAGGAGTGTGGCGTGTCAGTAGTAGACGCCACCCCCGAGGAGCTGCTCTACATCTCCATGACCGGCGCCCTGCTCTCCCTCGACTCCACCGCCCCCTCCTCCGCACGCCCAGGCACCTCGGGGGGGAGTGGGTCGGGTGGGGTGAGCCGGGTGAAGCTGCAGGTGGGGCATCTGCAGATTGACAACCAGCTGGCTGTGACGGCCATGCCCGTGTTGCTGGCACCTGAGGATCCACCTGGGGTGGTGCAGCCATACGTGCTGAAGCTCACTGTGGCCATGCGGCCGGCACGGGACGAGGATGAGCAGTCGTTCCCTTACATCGGCCTGCAGGTACTGCCTCCCCACCTCACACACGCCTCCATAGCATCGTCTTCTGCGTTCTTTTCCTAACCTCTCGCCTTGCCCTCTCCCATGCCCCCTTCTCGCCTGTTGGAGCCCCAAAACCAACCAAGAATGTGGACCTCCCTCCCTCCCCACCCCCCTCTGCTAGCTACCGAGTGCCGCCTGGCTGGTGAACATCCACGAGCCAATCATCTGGCGTCTCGCTGACATGGTCAAGCGCCTCTCCGCCCACCGCCTCGACGCCCCCCCGCAACCCACCTCCGTCTCCCTCGACCCGCGCGTGCACGTCGGGTGAGAGCAGTGCACATGTTGGGTATTCACGTCTCACGTGTTGACATGACCTGCCTGGAACACTGGTGGAAAGACGAATTACCAAAAACAATTCTGGCAGGGCTTGTAGCATGCAGTGAGGAATGGTGTTCCAACTGGAAGCCTGCTTGAATTTGGGTCTCCATTCTGCTTGCTGCAGTCCGCACTGCCTCACCCCACCCATTTCTATGTGCATGCGTATGCGTGGGTGTGGGCAGGCTGCTGAACATCTCGGAGGGGCGGCTGAAGCTGACGATGGCCATGTCCCCGCTGCACCGCCCGCGCTACATGATGGGCTTCTGGACGTCCGTGCTCACCTCCATGGGCAACACCGATGAGATGCCGGTGAGCCTCCATGGGCAACACCGATGAGATGCCGGTGAGCCTCACACCACTGCACACGTGCCGGTGAGAGTATGGGAGTGACATGCAGGTGAGGTGGCATGGCTACGGTCACGATCAAACCATCTTGTTTTCACAATGCTTGCCATCTTCTTCAGTGCACCCTCTCACTTCTCACTCAACCCCCCCCCCCTCCTCTGTGCCGGCCAGATCCGCCTGTCCCCGCGGGTGCGGGAGGGGGTGGTGTTGCGGCGCAGCCAGGTGTGGGCGGAGGCGTGGCGCAGTGTGAGCAACGACCTGCTGGCGCAGCCGTTCCGCCTGCTGTCGGGGCTGGACGTGCTGGGCAACGCCAGCAGCGTGGTGGGGCAGGTCAGCAAGGCCGTGGCGGGCATGAGCATGGACCGCGCCTTCATCCGCGCGCGCCACAAGCACGACGCCAAGGCCGCCGTCGGCTCGCTGGGCGACGGGCTGCGCGAGGGCGGGGAGGCGCTGGCCAAGGGGCTGTTCCGCGGGGTCACGGGCATCCTCACCAAGCCCATTGAGGGCGCGCGCGACGGCGGCGTGGAGGGCTTTGTGGCGGGCATGGGGCGCGGGCTGATCGGTGCGGCGGCGCAGCCGGTGAGCGGCGTGCTGGACCTGGTGAGCAAGACCACGGACGGCGTCAACGCCGAGCGCGCGCGCCTCTCCGCCGCCATGACTGCCAAGCTCGCTCTGCGCCGCCGCCGCCTGCCGCGTGCCATCCGCGGCGACCACGTGGTGCGGCCATATGATGAGTACGCGGCGCGCGGGCAGAGCATCCTGCAGCTGGCGGAGTGGGGCGCGCTGACGGGCGCGAGCGTGTTTGACATCCGAGAGAAGGGCAAGTTCGCCCTCAGCGACGCGTACGAGGACCACTTCCACCTGCCGGCGCGCCGCATCCTCATGATCACCCACCAGCGCACCATGCTGCTCGAGGTAAGTGGCGGGAGGGGGGGTGTGGGGGGAAATGGAGAGGGGTGGGAGGGAGGACGGAGGGAGCTGGTGTTTGTTAGGTGCACGGAGATGGGAGTGGGAAAGAAGGGGGGTAGAGGGGCGAGATGGCTTAACGGGGGAGCTGGTGTTTGTTGTGGGTGCACAAGATGGGTTGTAACAAATTGTTAAGGCACAAGGGTCAAATGGGTTAAATTATGTGAGATTTGACGGGGCACGTGGTGCGAAGGTTAGCAAGTGATCACATGGCTGGTGGTTCGTGGGAACTCTGATCCAACATGTGCTGTGCTCCCCTCCCACTGCTCTTGCCTGCATGTGCTGCAGCAACCGGGCGGTGGAGCGCTGGCAGGGGGGCGCAAGCCGGACCTGACTCGGGAGGCGTGCAGCATCGTGTGGGCCGTGGCGTGGGGCGACCTGCTGTCTCTGGAGGTCATGCGCGGCCGCGATGAGCCGCCCTCCGCCCCGCCGTCACGTGTTGTGCTGCATCTGCGGGAGTGGTCAGCAGACGTGCGGCTGCTGGACGCCAAGGAGATCGCCCGCGTGGTGCTGTGCCAGGCAGGCACGGAGCAGGCACAGCAAGTGCGAGACGCCATCCAGCGCGCCCTCGACCAGTTCGGCCCCGATCGGGCCACCGTCGCCGCTCAGGTGCCACTGCTGTGCCTGCTCAGGTGCCACTGTTGTGCCTGCTCAGTTGCCTAATTATACAGCCAGTGAGTCATCTCGGTGTGAGCTTCTCCATCCCTCGCCCCCCCATCCCCTTCCCGGTCCTCCCAGACGCGCAAGCGGCGGCAGGAGAGTCGGCCGTACACGGGGGCAGGGGCGGGGGCGGCGTCTGGGGCGGCGTTGGGGCTGCTGGCAGGGCCAGCAGCGCCGGTGGTGGTGCCGGTGATGGCGACGTTTGGAGCGCTGGTGGGCGGCGCGGGGCAGGTGATGCTGGAGGCCGACAGCCACGGCGACCTCGCCTCCCCTTCCTCCCGCCACCGCCCCTCCCTCGCTGCTCCTGCCTCCGGCCCCGCTCGGCCGCGTGCCATGACGGGCAGAGGCAGCTTCGGGGACGTGGTAGGGGCGGACGTGAATGGGCCGCCTGCCATTGTGGTGAAGGCATTCAAGCTGATGTGGTGGGACAAGGTGAGAGGCATTCAAGCTGATGTGGTGGGACAAGGTGAGAGGCATTCAAGGTGATGTGGTGGGACAAGGTGAGAGGCATTCAAGCTGATGTGGTGGGACAAGGTGAGAGGCATTCAAGGTGATGTGGTGGGACAAGGTGAGAGGCATTCAAGGTGATGTGGTGGGACAAGGTGAGAGGCATTCAAGGTGATGTGGTGGGACAAGGTGAGAGGCATTCAAGGTGATGTGGTGGGACAAGGTGAGAGGCATTCAAGCTGATGTGGTGGGACAAGGTGAGAGGCATTCAAGCTGTTGTGGTGGGACAAGGTGAGAGGCATTCAACGTGATGTGGTGGGACAAGGTGAGAGGCATTCAAGCTGATGTGGTGGGACAAGGTGAGAGGCATTCAAGCTGATGTGGTGGGACAAGGTGAGAGGCATTCAAGCTGATGTGGTGGGACAAGGTGAGAGGCATTCAAGCTGATGTGGTGGGACAAGGTGAGAGGCATTCAAGCTCATGTGGTGGGACAAGGTGAGAGGCATTCAAGCTCATGTGGTGGGACAAGGTGAGAGGCATTCAAGCTCATGTGGTGGGACAAGGTGAGAGGCATTCAAGCTCATGTGGTGGGACAAGGTGAGAGGCAATTAAGCTGAAGGTGGCAGCAGGGCGTGCATGTGTGTGAACTGATGTGGTTGCCCCCCTCCTTGACCCCCCCCTTCCCCGCCCCCATGGTGCAGGGAGCGGTGTGGAGCCAGAAGTTCCCCGTATCCATCTGGCGCCCCATCCTGCGCCCAGGGTGAGTGAGGGCACCACTGGTGGGAGGTGGGGTCAGTGCGAGCAGCATGGTGGGATGAGTGCGAGCAGCACGGCGGGATGAATGCGGTGGGATGAGTGAGAGCAGCAGCGGCTAGAGAAATTTCCGAGCTTTTCTGACAGTAACCTTGAGTCGCTTGTCACTTGTTGTGTCTATGCTGCCTTCCTTGCTCATCCTCCCTCGTGCTACCTCTGCCCTCTCTCTCAACATTGCCTGCTTCTGCCCTAATCCTTCTGCCCCCAAGCTTCTCCTTGCCCCTTTTGCTGCGCTGCGCCACGGCAGGTATGTGTCGGTGGGGGACGTGGCAACACCAGGGTACGACCAGCCGGTGAGGAGCACCGTCTATCTCGACACCGGCGCCGGCAAGTTCGCTCCGCCTCTCGGCTTCGATCTGGTCAGCCATCTCTCCGCTCTCCGCTCTCCCCTCTCCGCTCTCCGCTCTCCTCTCTCCGCTCTCCGCTCTCCTCTCTCCGCAACCCTCTGCCGCAACCCTTTCCCCCCCACGCTGCCTCCACCCCCTGCTACGCGACAAACAAGGTTAGCCACGTCACCTCCCCTGTAACTTACGCCCCCCTCCTTCCCCCCCCACCCCTCGTGTGCTTGCTGGCAGGTGTGGCGGGACACAGACAGCGGGGCGTGCACGCCGGTGACAATCTGGGCACCGAGGGCGCCGGAGGGGTATGTGGCGGTGGGGTGCGTGGCGGTGCCCGACTACTACGAGCCCGACCGCAGCGCCGTGGCGTGCGTGGCGGCGGGCGCAGTGGGCGCGGCGGAGCTGGGGCGGCTGCCCATATGGCGCGACCGCAAGGGCGCAGCGCTGTGGAAGTGCAGCCTGTGGCAGGTGCACAACGCCGCGCGCACCTTCCTGGCACGGCGCGACCATGAGAGCCCACCACCAGGCATGGCCTTTGATGTGAAGGTGGAGGACACACACACAGATGCACGCAGTGCCACCTTCGTGCACACAGGGTAGATGCTCACACGCATGATCTGTCCACATCTAAGCTCCTCACGATAGGTGAAACCATTTAGGTGCATTCCACAAACGCTGTATCCTAATCTGAGCTGTCAAAACGCATGAACTATAGAACTGCAGTGCAGTCATTATACCGTAAATGTGAGTTTGAAAAAGTCATGCTTCCTGAATAATGATGTAACATGGGCCATGTTACATGGCCCAATTTCTTATGTTGGCCAGTAGTAGATACTAAGGTAGTAGACCACATATGACATTTTATGGTATGTGCGTATATGTTCGATTCGAGCAATGGTATCCAAATGTACGTAGTGTTAGAACCAGGGCCCAAAATTGGTTTAGGCCTACCCTTACAAGTCAGGGTTCCAGCCCCTCCTTACCCCGACCCCTAGGGTAAATTTTTTCGTACCCTGTTTGCAGCAGGGTCAATCAACCACTAGCCTGATTTGAACAGGGTAGTTTTAGGCCAACCCTGTTTCAGTTAGTATTTTGTGAGCTAAGTTATTTACCATGACATACCGTAATAAAGTAGCACTCACAAAGTCCATGAGCTCTGGAAGAGCATCACATTCACAACACACCTACTCAGTGCCACCCCCACTGCCTACTACTTCTACAAACTGGGTGTCGCCTCATTGGGTGAAACAACCAATGAGGCGACATGGCTAGGCCTCTCGATAGGATTTGGGGCACTCTTACTCGTAAGACCAGTTAGTTGGAGTTGGTCTTTCAGTAAGGGTGCGTCAACCATGTCAGTCTTTTTTATCAGTGTCAGCTGGAAAGGTACTGTTACTCTTCAGTGTACACATTGTTTTCACCCTTTCATGTTTAGATTAAAGCGTTACATATAAAAGAAGGCACAAACTAACAGAGCAGCTAGAGCACCAGCGCCTAGTTTTAACAGAATAAGCTGAGCAGTGAGCACACAAGTTAATACGGTACAGGAACTCCTGAGCTGGGCAGCCCTTCTTGCTAGCATTGAACATTGCTATGCACGAGCCCCGCGAGTGAAACTCGACTCAGGTTGCCGCCACTTCTTCAGTGCCTAACCGGAAACAGATTTCAACTTCTTGGCATCAGAGTCGTCAGCAGCAGCAGTATATGTTACATGTGTCGTCGCTTTTCGTGGTGCCAATTCAGACGTCGTGGTGCAGGTCACGCCCCACTTCAGGGTTTAGGGTTTAGGGTTTCGGGTTTAGGGTTCACCCTCCACCTCCACGTCCATGTCCACGTCCACGTCCACGTCCACGTCCACGACCACGTCAACGTCCACGTCCACGTCCACGTCCAAGTCCACATCCACGTCCACGTCCACAACCACGTCAACGTCCACGTCCACGACCACGTCCACGACCACGTCCACGTCCACGACCACGTCCACGTCCACGTCCACGTCCACGTCCACGTCCACGTCCAAGTCCACGTCCAAGTCCTCCACGTCCATGTCCATATCCACCTCCACGTCCACGACCACGTCCACGTCCACGTCCACGTCCCCGTCCACGTCCACGTCCAAGTCCACGTCCAAGTCCTCCACGTCCACGTCCATATCCACCTCCACGTCCACGTCCACGACCACGTCCACGTCCACGTCCACGTCCACGTCCAAGTCCTCCACGTCCACGTTCATATCCACCTCCACGTCCACCTCCACGTCCACGTCTGTGTCCACGTCCACGTCCACGTCCAAGTCCACGTCCACGTCCACGTCCACGTCCAGGTCCACGTCCACGTCCACGTCCACGACCACGTCCACGTCCAGGTTCACGTCCACGTCCACGTCCACAACCACGTCCATGTCCGTGCCACGTCCACGTCCACGCCCACGTCCACGTCCACGTCCATGTCCACGTCCACGCCCACGTCCACAACCACGTCCACGTCCACTTCCATGTCCACGTCCACGTCCACAACCACGTCCACGTTTACGTCCATGACCACGTCCACGTCCACGTCCATGTCCACGTCGACGTCGACGTCCACGTCCACGTCCACGTCCACGTCCTCGTCCACGACCACGTCCACGTCCACGACCACGTCCACGTCCACGACCACGTCCACGTCCACGACCACGTCCACGTCCACGTCCACGTCCACGACCAAGTCTACGTCCACGATCACGTTGACGTCCACGTCCACGACCACGTCCACGTCCTCGTCCACGACCACGTCCAAGTCTACGTCCACGTCCAAGTCCACGTCCACGTCCACGTCCATGTCCACGACCACGTCCACGTCCACGACCACGTCCACGTCCACGTCCACGTCCTCGTCCAAGTCCAAGTCCACGTCCACGTCCATGTCCACGTCCACGTCCACGTCCATGTCCACGTCCACGTCCACGTCCACGACCACGTCCACGTCCACGTTTACATCCACGACCACGTCCACGTCCACGTCCACGTCCACGATCACGTCCACGTCCACGTCCACGTCCACGTCCACGTCCACGACCACGTCCACGTCCACGTCCACGTCCGCGTCCATGTCCACGTCCAGGTCCACGTCCACGTCCACGTCCACGTCCACGACCACGTCCACGTCTGTCAGAGGTCCACTGGTGATCCCCCATTGATCCTAGGGAAGGGTTACAGGCACGGTTGCCTGGGGGGTTATGGGCGCACTGACTTGCTACTGAAACAAGCACTTTTATCCCAATGGTCTTGTGGTTGGGATTCTGAGATGGTATCAGAGCGAAGGTCTCGGGTTCGAATCCCGGTGTGTGCACTTCGGGCATCCCAGTGAGGGGGGGTGTCAGAGGTCCACTGGTGATCCCCGATTGATCCTAGGGAAGGGTTACAGGCACGGTTGCCTGGGGGGTTATGGGCGTACTGACCCGCTACTGAAACAAGCCCTTTTATCCCAATGGTCTAGTGGTTGGGATTCTGAGAACGTCGACGTCCACGTCCACGTGCACGTCCAGGTCCACGTCCACGTCTACGTCCACGACCACGTCCACGTCCACGTCCACGTCCAAGTCCACGTCCACGTCCAAGTCCACGTCCACGTCCAGGTCCAGGTCCACGTCCACGTCCACGTCCACGACCACGTCCACGTCCACGTCCACGTCCACGACCACGTCCACGTCCATGTACACGTCGACGACCACGTCCACGTCCACGTCTACGTCCACCACCACGTCCAGGTCCACGACCACGTCCACGTCCACGTCCACATCCACGACCACGTCCATGTCCACGTCCACGTCCACGTCCACGACCACGTCCACGTCCACGTCCACGTCCACGTCCACGACCACGTCCATGTCCTTGCCACGACCACGTCCACGTCCACGACCACGTCCACGTCCACGTCCACGTCCACGACCACGTCCACGTCCACATCCACGTCCACGTCCACGTCCAAGTCCACGTCCACGTCCACGTCCACGACCACGTCAACGTCCACGTCCACGACCACGTCCACGTCCACGTCCACGTCCACGTCCAAGTCCAAGTCCACGTCCAAGTCCACGTCTACGTCCAGGTCCACGTCCACGTCCACGTCCACGTCCATGTCCACGACCACGACCACGTCCACGTCCACGACCACGTCCACGTCCACGTCCAAGTCCACGTCCACGTCCAGGTCCACGTCCACGTCCACGACCATGTCCACGTCCACGTCCAAGTCCACGACCAGTCCACGTCCAGGTCCACGTCCACGTCCTTGCCACGTCCACGTCCACGTCCACGTTCAAGTCCACGTCCACATCCAGGTCCACTTCCACGTCCACGTCCACGACCAGGTCCACGTCCACGTCCACGTCCAGGTCCACGTCCACGTCCACGTCGACGACCACGTCCACGTCAACGTCCACGTCCACGTCCACGACCACGTCCACGTCCACGTCCACGTCCAAGTCCACGTCCAAGTCCAGGTCCACGTCCAGATCCACATCCACGTCCACGTCCACATCCACGTCCACGTCCAAGTCCGAGTCCACGTCCACGTCCACGTCCACGTCCACGACCACGTCCACGTCCACGTCCACGTCCACGTCCAAGTCCACGTTCAAGTCCACGTCCAGGTCCAGGTCCACGTCCACGTCCACATCTACGTCCACGACCACGTCCACGTCCACATTCACGTCCACGTCCACGTACAGGTCCACGTCCACGTCCACGTGTCCAGGTCCACGTCCACGTCCTAGTCCAAGTCCACGTCCACATCCACGACCACGTCCACGTCCACGTCCACGTCCACGTCCACATCCACGTCCTCCACGTCCACGTCCACGTCCACGTCCTCCACGTCCTCCACGTCCACGTCAACGTCCTCCACGTCCACGTCCACGTCCACGTCGACGTCCAAGTCCACGTCCACATCCAGGTCCACGTCCACGTCCACGTCCAGGTCAACGTCCACGTCCACGTCCACGTCCACGACCACGTCCACGTCCACGTCCACGACCACGTCCACGTTCACGTCCACGTCCACGTCCGCGTCCAAGTCGACGTCCACGTCCACGTCCACGTCCACGTCCACGTCCACGACCACGTCCATGTCCACGTCCACGTCCTCCATGTCCACGTCCACGTCCACGTCCTCGTCCACGACCACGTCCAGGTCCACGTCCTTGCCACGTCCACGTCCACGTCCTCCACGTCCACATCCTCCACGTCCACGTCCACGTCCATGTCCACGTCCATGTCCAAGTCCACGTCCACATCCAGGTCCACGTCCACGTCCACGTAGACGTCCATGTCCACGTCCACGTTCACGACCACGTCCACGACCACGTCCACGTCCACGTCCATGTCCACGTCCACGTCCACGTCCAAGTCCACGTCCAAGTCCACGTCCAGGTCTAGGTCCACGTCCACGTCCACGTCTACGTCCACGTCCACGACCACGTCCACGTCCACGTTCACGTCCACGTCCAGGTCCACGTCCACGTCCACGTCCAGGTCCACGTCCAGGTCCACGTCCACGTCCACGTCCAAGTCCACGTCCACGACCACGTCCACGTCCATATCCACGTCCACGTCCACGTCCACGTCCTCCACGTCCACGTCCACGTCCACGTCCACGTCCAGATCCACGTCCTTGTCAAGTCCACGTCCACGTCCACGACCTCCACGTCCACGTCCACATCCAGGTCCACGTCCACGTCCACGTCCTGGTCCACGTCCACGTCCACGTCTACGACCACGTCCACGTCCACGTCCACGTCCACGACCACGTCCACGTCCACGTCCACGTCCACGTCCAAGTCCACGTCCACGTCCACGTCCACGTCCAGGTCCACGTCCACGTCAACGTCCACGACCACGTCCACGTCCACGTCCACGTCCACGTCCACGTCCAGGTCCACGACCACGTCCACGTCCACGACCACGTCCACGTCCACGTCCAAGTCCACGTCCAAGTCCAGGTCCACGTCCAGGTCCACGTCCACGTCCACGTCCACATCCATGTCCACGTCCACGTCCACGTCGACGTCCAAGTCCAAGTCCATGTCTACGTCCACGTCCACGTCCACGACCACGTCCACGTCCACGTCCACGTCCACGTCCAAGTCCACGTCCAGGTCTACGTCTACGTCCACGTCCACGTCCACGTCTACGTCCACGTTCATGTCCACGTCCACGTCTAGGTCCACGTCCACGTCCACGTCCAGGTCCACGTCCAGGTCCACGTCCACGTCCACGTCCAAGTCCACGTCCACGTCCACGACCACGTCCACGTCCACGTCCACGTCCACGTCCACGTCCTCCATGTCCACGTCCATGTCCACGTCCACGTCCACCACCACGTCCACGTCCACGTCCTCCACGTCCACGTCCACGTCCTCCACGTCCACGTCCACGTCCACGTCCACGTCCACGTCCACGTCGACCACGTCCACGTCCACGTCCACGTCCACGTCCACGTCCACGTCCACGTCCACGTCCACATCCACGTCCACGTCCACGTCCACGTCCACGACCACGTCCACGTCCACGTCCACGTCCTCCATGTCCATGTCCACGTCCACGTCCACGTCCACGTCCAGGTCCACGTCCACGTCCACGTCCACGACCACGTCCACGTCCACGTCCACGTCCTCCATGTCCACGTCCACGTCCACGTCCACGTCCACGACCACGTCGAGGTCCACGTCCTTGCCACGTCCACGTCCACGTCCTCCACGTCCACATCCTCCACGTCCACGTCCACGTCCACGTCCAATTCCACGTCCACATCCAGGTCCACGTCCACGTCCACGTCGACGTCCATGTCCACGTCCACGTCCACGACCACGTCGACGACCACGTCCACGTCCACGTCCATGTCCACGTCCACGTCCACGTCCACGTCCAAGTCCACGTCCAAGTCCAGGTCCAGGTCCAGGTCCACGTCCACGTCCAAGTCCACGTCTACGTCCACGTCCACGACCACGTCCACGTCCACGTTCACGTCCACGTCCAGGTCCACGTCCACGTCCACGTCCAGGTCCACGTCCAGGTCCACGTCCACGTCCACGTCCAAGTCCACGTCCACGTCCACGACCACGTCCACGTCCATGTTCACGTCCACGTCCACGTCCACGTCCTCCACGTCCACGTCCACGTCCAGGTACACGTCCTTATCACGTCCACGTCCACGTCCTCCACGTCCACGTCCACGTCCTCCACGTCCACGTCCACGTCCACGTCCACGTCCAAGTCCACGTCCACATCCAGGTCCACGTCCACGTCCACGTCCTGGTCCACGTCCATGTCCACGTCCATGTCCACGACCACGTCCACGTCCACGTCCACGTCCACGACCACGTCCACGTCCACGTCGACGTCCACGTCCACGTCCAAGTCCATGTCCACGTCCACGTCCACGACCACGTCCACGTCCTCCATGTCCACGTCCACGTCCACGTCCACGTCCTCGTCCACGACCACGTCCAGGTCCACGTCCTTGCCACGTCCACGTCCTCCACGTCCACGTCCACGTCCTCCACGTCCACGTCCACGTCCACGTCCAAGTCCACGTCCACATCCAGGTCCACGTCCATGTCCACATCGACGTCCACGTCCACGTCCACGACCACGACCACGTCCACGTCCACGTCCACGTCCACGACCACGTCCACATCCACGTCCTCGTCCACGTCCACGTCCACGTCCAAGTCCACGTCCACGTCCACGTCCAGGTCGAGATCGAGGTCCACGTCCATGTCCACGACTACGTCCACGTCCACGACCACGTCGATGTCCACGTCCACGTCCATGTCCAGGTCCACGTCCACGTCCACGTCCAGGTCCACGTCCAGGTCCACGTCCACTTCCAAGTCCACGTTCACGTCCACCTCCACGTCCACGTCCACGACCAGGTCCACGTCCACATCCACGTCCACGTCCTCCATATCCACGTCCACGTCCACGTCCACGACCACGTCCAGGTCCACGTCCTTGCCACGTCCACGTCCACGTCCTCCACGTCCACGTCCTCCACGTCCACGTCCACGTCCAAGTCCACGTCCACATCTAGGTCCACGTCCACGTCCACGTCTACGTCCACGACCACGTCCACGTCCACGTCCACGTCCTCCATGTCCATGTCCACGTCCACGTCCACGTCCACGTCCACGTCCAGGTCCACGTCCACGTCCACGACCACGTCCACGTCCACGTCCACGTCCTCCATGTCCACGTCGACGTCCACGTCCACGTCCACGACCACGTCGAGGTCCACGTCCTTGCCACGTCCACGTCCACGTCCTCCACGTCCACATCCTCCACGTCCACGTCCACGTCCACGTCCACGTCCAATTCCACGTCCACATCCAGGTCCACGTCCACGTCCACGTCGACGTCCATGTCCACGTCCACGTCCACGACCACGTCGACGACCACGTCCACGTCCACGTCCATGTCCACGTCCACGTCCACGTCCACGTCCAAGTCCACGTCCAAGTCCAGGTCCAGGTCCAGGTCCACGTCCACGTCCACGTCCACGTCTACGTCCACGTCCACGACCACGTCCACGTCCACGTTCACGTCCACGTCCAGGTCCACTTCCACGTCCACGTCCACGTCCACGTCCACGTCCAGGTCCACGTCCACGTCCACGTCCAAGTCCACGTCCACGTCCACGACCACGTCCACGTCCATGTCCACGTCCACGTCCACGTCCTCCACGTCCACGTCCACGTCCAGGTACACGTCCTTATCACGTCCACGTCCACGTCCACGTCCTCCACGTCCACGTCCACGTCCTCCACGTCCACGTCCACGTCCACGTCCAAGTCCACGTCCACATCCAGGTCCACGTCCACGTCCACGTCCTGGTCCACGTCCATGTCCACGTCCATGTCCACGACCACGTCCACGTCCACGTCCACGTCCACGACCACGTCCACGTCTACGTCCACGTCCAAGTCCATGTCCACGTCCACGTCCACGACCACGTCCACGTCCACGTCCTCCATGTCCACGTCCACGTCCACGTCCTCGTCCACGACCACGTCCAGGTCCACGTCCTTGCCACGTCCACGTCCACGTCCTCCACGTCCACGTCCACGTCCTCCACGTCCACGTCCACGTCCACGTCCAAGTCCACGTCCACATCCAGGTCCACGTCCATGTCCACATCGACGTCCACGTCCACGTCCACGACCACGACCACGTCCACGTCCACGTCCACGTCCACGTCCACGACCACGTCCTCATCCACGTCCTCGTCCACGTCCACGTCCACGTCCAAGTCCACGTCCACGTCCACGTCCACGACCAAGTCTACGTCCACGATCACGTTGACGTCCACGTCCACGACCACGTCCACGTCCTCGTCCACGACCACGTCCAAGTCTACGTCCACGTCCAAGTCCACGTCCACGTCCACGTCCATGTCCACGACCACGTCCACGTCCACGACCACGTCCACGTCCACGTCCACGTCCTCGTCCAAGTCCAAGTCCACGTCCACGTCCATGTCCACGTCCACGTCCACGTCCATGTCCACGTCCACGTCCACGTCCACGACCACGTCCACGTCCACGTTTACATCCACGACCACGTCCACGTCCACGTCCACGTCCACGTCCACGTCCACGATCACGTCCACGTCCACGTCCACGTCCACGTCCACGACCACGTCCACGTCCACGTCCACGTCCACGTCCTCGTCCAGGTCCACGTCCGCGTCCATGTCCACGTCCAGGTCCACGTCCACGTCCACGTCCACGACCACGTCCACGTCTGTCAGAGGTCCACTGGTGATCCCCCATTGATCCTAGGGAAGGGTTACAGGCACGGTTGCCTGGGGGGTTATGGGCGCACTGACTTGCTACTGAAACAAGCACTTTTATCCCAATGGTCTTGTGGTTGGGATTCTGAGATGGTATCAGAGCGAAGGTCTCGGGTTCGAATCCCGGTGTGTGCACATCGGGCATCCCAGTGAGGGGGGGTGTCAGAGGTCCACTGGTGATCCCCGATTGATCCTAGGGAAGGGTTACAGGCACGGTTGCCTGGGGGGTTATGGGCGTACTGACCCGCTACTGAAACAAGCCCTTTTATCCCAATGGTCTAGTGGTTGGGATTCTGAGAACGTCGACGTCCACGTCCACGTGCACGTCCAGGTCCACGTCCACGTCTACGTCCACGACCACGTCCACGTCCACGTCCACGTCCAAGTCCACGTCCACGTCCAAGTCCACGTCCACGTCCAGGTCCAGGTCCACGTCCACGTCCACGTCCACGACCACGTCCACGTCCACGTCCACGACCACGTCCACGTCCATGTACACGTCGACGACCACGTCCACGTCCACGTCCACGTCTACGTCCACCACCACGTCCAGGTCCACGACCACGTCCACGTCCACGTCCACATCCACGACCACGTCCATGTCCACGTCCACGTCCACGTCCACGTCCACGACCACGTCCACGTCCACGTCCACGTCCACGTCCACGACCACGTCCATGTCCTTGCCACGACCACGTCCACGTCCACGACCACGTCCACGTCCACGTCCACGTCCACGACCACGTCCACGTCCACATCCACGTCCACGTCCACGTCCAAGTCCACGTCCACGTCCACGTCCACGACCACGTCAACGTCCACGTCCACGACCACGTCCACGTCCACGTCCACGTCCAAGTCCAAGTCCACGTCCAAGTCCACGTCTACGTCCAGGTCCACGTCCACGTCCACGTCCACGTCCATGTCCACGACCACGACCACGTCCACGTCCACGACCACGTCCACGTCCACGTCCACGTCCAAGTCCACGTCCACGTCCAGGTCCACGTCCACGTCCACGACCATGTCCACGTCCACGTCCAAGTCCACGACCAGTCCACGTCCAGGTCCACGTCCACGTCCTTGCCACGTCCACGTCCACGTCCACGTTCAAGTCCACGTCCACATCCAGGTCCACTTCCACGTCCACGTCCACGACCACGTCCACGTCCACGTCCACGTCCAGGTCCACGTCCACGTCCACGTCGACGACCACGTCCACGTCAACGTCCACGTCCACGTCCACGACCACGTCCACGTCCACGTCCACGTCCAAGTCCACGTCCAAGTCCAGGTCCACGTCCAGATCCACATCCACGTCCACGTCCACATCCACGTCCACGTCCAAGTCCGAGTCCACGTCCACGGCCACGTCCACGTCCACGACCACGTCCACGTCCACGTCCACGTCCACGTCCAAGTCCACGTTCAAGTCCACGTCCAGGTCCAGGTCCACGTCCACGTCCACATCTACGTCCACGACCACGTCCACGTCCACATTCACGTCCACGTCCACGTACAGGTCCACGTCCACGTCCACGTGTCCAGGTCCACGTCCACGTCCACGTCCAAGTCCACGTCCACATCCACGACCACGTCCACGTCCACGTCCACGTCCACGTCCACATCCACGTCCTCCACGTCCACGTCCACGTCCACGTCCTCCACGTCCTCCACGTCCACGTCAACGTCCTCCACGTCCACGTCCACGTCGACGTCCAAGTCCACGTCCACATCCAGGTCCACGTCCACGTCCACGTCCAGGTCAACGTCCACGTCCACGTCCACGTCCACGACCACGTCCACGTCCACGTCCACGACCACGTCCACGTTCACGTCCACGTCCGCGTCCAAGTCGACGTCCACGTCCACGTCCACGTCCACGTCCACGTCCACGACCACGTCCACGTCCACGTCCACGTCCTCCATGTCCACGTCCACGTCCACGTCCTCGTCCACGACCACGTCCAGGTCCACGTCCTTGCCACGTCCACGTCCACGTCCTCCACGTCCACATCCTCCACGTCCACGTCCACGTCCATGTCCACGTCCATGTCCAAGTCCACGTCCACATCCAGGTCCACGTCCACGTCCACGTAGACGTCCATGTCCACGTCCACGTTCACGACCACGTCCACGACCACGTCCACGTCCACGTCCATGTCCACGTCCACGTCCACGTCCAAGTCCACGTCCAAGTCCACGTCCAGGTCTAGGTCCACGTCCACGTCCACGTCTACGTCCACGTCCACGACCACGTCCACGTCCACGTTCACGTCCACGTCCAGGTCCACGTCCACGTCCACGTCCAGGTCCACGTCCAGGTCCACGTCCACGTCCACGTCCAAGTCCACGTCCACGACCACGTCCACGTCCATGTCCACGTCCACGTCCACGTCCACGTCCTCCACGTCCACGTCCACGTCCACGTCCACGTCCAGATCCACGTCCTTGTCAAGTCCACGTCCACGTCCACGACCTCCACGTCCACGTCCACATCCAGGTCCACGTCCACGTCCACGTCCTGGTCCACGTCCACGTCCACGTCTACGACCACGTCCACGTCCACGTCCACGACCACGTCCACGTCCACGTCCACGTCCACGTCCAAGTCCACGTCCACGTCCACGTCCACGTCCACGTCCAGGTCCACGTCCACGTCAACGTCCACGACCACGTCCACGTCCACGTCCACGTCCACGTCCAGGTCCACGACCACGTCCACGTCCACGACCACGTCCACGTCCACGTCCAAGTCCACGTCCAAGTCCAGGTCCACGTCCAGGTCCACGTCCACGTCCACGTCCACATCCATGTCCACGTCCACGTCCACGTCGACGTCCATGTCCACGTCCACGTCCACGACCACGTCGACGACCACGTCCACGTCCACGTCCACGTCCATGTCCACGTCCACGTCCACGTCCACGTCCAAGTCCACGTCCAAGTCCAGGTCCAGGTCCAGGTCCACGTCCACGTCCAAGTCCACGTCTACGTCCACGTCCACGACCACGTCCACGTCCACGTTCACGTCCACGTCCAGGTCCACGTCCACGTCCACGTCCAGGTCCACGTCCAGGTCCACGTCCACGTCCACGTCCAAGTCCACGTCCACGTCCACGACCACGTCCACGTCCATGTTCACGTCCACGTCCACGTCCACGTCCTCCACGTCCACGTCCACGTCCACGTCCAGGTACACGTCCAAGTCCAAGTCCATGTCTACGTCCACGTCCACGTCCACGACCACGTCCACGTCCACGTCCACGTCCAAGTCCACGTCCAGGTCTACGTCTACGTCCACGTCCACGTCCACGTCTACGTCCACGTTCATGTCCACGTCCACGTCTAGGTCCACGTCCACGTCCACGTCCAAGTCCACGTCCAGGTCCACGTCCACGTCCACGTCCAAGTCCACGTCCACGTCCACGACCACGTCCACGTCCACGTCCACGTCCACGTCCACGTCCTCCATGTCCACGTCCATGTCCACGTCCACGTCCACCACCACGTCCACGTCCACGTCCTCCACGTCCACGTCCACGTCCTCCACGTCCACGTCCACGTCCACGTCCACGTCCACGTCCACGTCGACCACGTCCACGTCCACGTCCACGTCCACGTCCACGTCCACATCCACGTCCACGTCCACGTCCACGTCCACGACCACGTCCACGTCCACGTCCACGTCCTCCATGTCCATGTCCACGTCCACGTCCACGTCCACGTCCAGGTCCACGTCCACGTCCACGACCACGTCCACGTCCACGTCCACGTCCTCCATGTCCACGTCCACGTCCACGTCCACGACCACGTCGAGGTCCACGTCCTTGCCACGTCCACGTCCACGTCCTCCACGTCCACATCCTCCACGTCCACGTCCACGTCCACGTCCAATTCCACGTCCACATCCAGGTCCACGTCCACGTCCACGTCGACGTCCATGTCCACGTCCACGTCCACGACCACGTCGACGACCACGTCCACGTCCACGTCCACGTCCATGTCCACGTCCACGTCCACGTCCACGTCCAAGTCCACGTCCAAGTCCAGGTCCAGGTCCAGGTCCACGTCCACGTCCAAGTCCACGTCTACGTCCACGTCCACGACCACGTCCACGTCCACGTTCACGTCCACGTCCAGGTCCACGTCCACGTCCACGTCCAGGTCCACGTCCAGGTCCACGTCCACGTCCACGTCCAAGTCCACGTCCACGTCCACGACCACGTCCACGTCCATGTTCACGTCCACGTCCACGTCCACGTCCTCCACGTCCACGTCCACGTCCACGTCCAGGTACACGTCCTTATCACGTCCACGTCCACGTCCTCCACGTCCACGTCCACGTCCTCCACGTCCACGTCCACGTCCACGTCCAAGTCCACGTCCACATCCAGGTCCACGTCCACGTCCACGTCCTGGTCCACGTCCATGTCCACGTCCATGTCCACGACCACGTCCACGTCCACGTCCACGTCCACGACCACGTCCACGTCCACGTCGACGTCCACGTCCACGTCCAAGTCCATGTCCACGTCCACGTCCACGACCACGTCCACGTCCTCCATGTCCACGTCCACGTCCACGTCCACGTCCTCGTCCACGACCACGTCCAGGTCCACGTCCTTGCCACGTCCACGTCCTCCACGTCCACGTCCACGTCCTCCACGTCCACGTCCACGTCCACGTCCAAGTCCACGTCCACATCCAGGTCCACGTCCATGTCCACATCGACGTCCACGTCCACGACCACGACCACGTCCACGTCCACGTCCACGTCCACGACCACGTCCACATCCACGTCCTCGTCCACGTCCACGTCCACGTCCAAGTCCACGTCCACGTCCACGTCCAGGTCGAGATCGAGGTCCACGTCCATGTCCACGTCTACGTCCACGTCCACGACCACGTCGATGTCCACGTCCACGTCCATGTCCAGGTCCACGTCCACGTCCACGTCCAGGTCCACGTCCAGGTCCACGTCCACTTCCAAGTCCACGTTCACGTCCACCTCCACGTCCACGTCCACGTCCACGACCAGGTCCACGTCCACGTCCACGTCCACGTTCTCCATATCCACGTCCACGTCCACGACCACGTCCAGGTCCACGTCCTTGCCACGTCCACGTCCACGTCCTCCACGTCCACGTCCTCCACGTCCACGTCCACGTCCACGTCCAAGTCCACGTCCACATCTAGGTCCACGTCCACGTCCACGTCTACGTCCACGACCACGTCCACGTCCACGTCCACGTCCTCCATGTCCATGTCCACGTCCACGTCCACGTCCACGTCCACGTCCAGGTCCACGTCCACGTCCACGTCCACGACCACGTCCACGTCCACGTCCACGTCCTCAATGTCCACGTCCACGTCCACGTCCACGTCCACGACCACGTCGAGGTCCACGTCCTTGCCACGTCCACGTCCACGTCCTCCACGTCCACATCCTCCACGTCCACGTCCACGTCCACGTCCACGTCCAATTCCACGTCCACATCCAGGTCCACGTCCACGTCCACGTCGACGTCCATGTCCACGTCCACGTCCACGACCACGTCGACGACCACGTCCACGTCCACGTCCATGTCCACGTCCACGTCCACGTCCACGTCCAAGTCCACGTCCAAGTCCAGGTCCAGGTCCAGGTCCACGTCCACGTCCACGTCCACGTCTACGTCCACGTCCACGACCACGTCCACGTCCACGTTCACGTCCACGTCCAGGTCCACTTCCACGTCCACGTCCACGTCCACGTCCACGTCCAGGTCCACGTCCACGTCCACGTCCAAGTCCACGTCCACGTCCACGACCACGTCCACGTCCATGTCCACGTCCACGTCCACGTCCACGTCCACGTCCTCCACGTCCACGTCCACGTCCAGGTACACGTCCTTATCACGTCCACGTCCACGTCCACGTCCTCCACGTCCACGTCCACGTCCTCCACGTCCACGTCCACGTCCACGTCCAAGTCCACGTCCACATCCAGGTCCACGTCCACGTCCACGTCCTGGTCCACGTCCATGTCCACGTCCATGTCCACGACCACGTCCACGTCCACGTCCACGTCCACGACCACGTCCACGTCCACGTCTACGTCCACGTCCAAGTCCATGTCCACGTCCACGTCCACGACCACGTCCACGTCCACGTCCTCCATGTCCACGTCCACGTCCACGTCCACGTCCTCGTCCACGACCACGTCCAGGTCCACGTCCTTGCCACGTCCACGTCCACGTCCTCCACGTCCACGTCCACGTCCTCCACGTCCACGTCCACGTCTACGTCCAAGTCCACGTCCACATCCAGGTCCACGTCCATGTCCACATCGACGTCCACGTCCACGTCCACGACCACGACCACGTCCACGTCCACGTCCACGACCACGTCCTCATCCACGTCCTCGTCCACGTCCACGTCCACGTCCAAGTCCACGTCCACGTCCACGTCCAGGTCGAGATCGAGGTCCACGTCCACGTCCACGTCTATGTCCACGTCCACGACCACGTCGATGTCCACGTCCACGTCCATGTCCAGGTCCACGTCCACGTCCAGGTCCAGGTCCACGTCCAGGTCCACGTCCACGTCCAAGTCCACGTTCACGTCCACCTCCACGTCCACGTCCACGTCCACGACCAGGTCCACGTCCACGTCCACGTCCACGTCCTCCATATCCACGTCCACGTCCACGTCCACGACCACGTCCAGGTCCACGTCCTTGCCACGTCCACGTCCACGTCCTCCACGTCCACGTCCTCCACGTCCACGTCCACGTCCACGTCCAAGTCCACGTCCACATCTAGGTCCACGTCCACGTCCACGTCCACGTCCACAACCACGTCCACGTCCACGTCCACGTCCACATCCACCTCCACGTCCACGTCCACGTCCACGTGCACGTCCACATCCACCTCCACGTCCACGTCCACGTCCACGTCCACATCCCATCCACGTCTACGTCCACGTCCACGTCCACGTCCAGGTCCAGGTCCACGTCCACGTCCACGTCCGCGTCCACGTCCAGGTCCACGTCCAAGTCCACGTCCACGTCCACGTCCACGTCCTCCACGTCCACGTCAATGTCCACGTCCACGTCCAAGTCCACGTCCACGTCTAGGTACACGTCCACATCCACGTCCAGGTCCAGGTCCACGTCCACGTCCACGTCCACGTCCACGTCCACGTCCACGACCTTTCCACGTCCACGTCCACGTCCACGACCACGTCCACGTCCACGTCCAGGTCCACGTCCTCAACCACGTCCACGTCCACGTCCACGTCCAAGTCCACGTCTATGTCTACGTCCACGACCACGTCCACGTCCACGTCCACGTCCAGGTCCACGTCCACGTCCACGTCCAGGTCCACGTCTAGATCCACGTCCACGTCCACGTCCAAGTCCACGTTCACGTCCACCTCCACGTCCACGTCCATGTCCACGACCACGTCCACGTCCACGTCCAAGTCCACGTCCTCCATGTCCACGTCCACGTCCACGTCCACAACCACGTCCAGGTCCACGTCCTTGCCACGTCCACGTCCACGTCCTCCACGTCCACGTCCACGTCCACGTCCTCCACGTCCATGTCCACGTCCAAGTCCACGTCCAAGTCCACGTCCAAGTCCACGTCCAGGTCCACGTCCACGTCCATGTCTACGTCCACGTCCAGGTCCACGTCCACGTCCATGTCCAGGTCCACGTCCAGGTCCAAGTCCACGTCCAAGTCCACGTCCAAGTCCACGTCCACGTCCACGACCACGTCCACGTCCACGTCCACGTCCTCCACGTCCACGTCCACGTCCACGACCACGTCCAGGTCCACGTCCTTGCCACATCCACGTCCACGTCTACGTCCTCCACGTCCACGTCCACGTCCACGTCCACAACCACGTCCACGACCACGTCCACGTCCACGTCCAGGTCCACGTCCACGTCCACGACCACGTCCACGTCCACGTCCACGTCCAAGTCCACGTCCAAGTCCAGGTCCACGTCCAGGTCCAGGTCCACGTCCACGTCCACATCCACGTCCAAGTCCAAGTCCATGTCCACGTCCACGTCCACGTGCACGACCACGTCCACGTCCACGTCCAAGTCCACGTCCAAGTCCACGTCCAGGTCCACGTCCACGTCCACGTCCACGTCCACGTTCACGTCCTCGTCCACGTCTAGGTTCACGTCCACGTCCACGTCCAGGTCCACGTCCAGGTCCAAGTCCACGTCCAAGTCCACGTCCACGTCCACGACCACGTCCACGTCCACGTCCACGTCCACGTCCTCCACGTCCACGTCCACATCCACGTCCACGACCACGTCCAGGTCCACGTCCTTGCCACGTCCACGTCCACGTCCACGTCCTCCACATCCACGTCAACGTCCACGTCCACATCCACGTCCAAGTCCACGTCCACGTCCATGTCCAGGTCCACGTCCACGTCCACGTCGACGTCCAAGTCCACGTCCACGTCCAAGTCCACGTCCACGTCCACAACCACGTCCACGTCCACGTCCACGTCCAGGTCCACGTCCACGTCCACGACCACGTCCACGTACACGTCTACGTCCACGTCCACGACCACGTCCATGTCCACGTCCACATCCACGAACACGTCCACGTCCATATCCACGTCCACGTCCAAGTCCACGTCCACGTCCACGTCCACGTTCACGTCCAGGTCCACGTTCAGGTCCACGTCCACATCCAAGTCCACGTTCACGTCCACCTCCACGTCTACGTCCACGTCCACGACCACGTCCACGTCCACGTCCACGTCCACGTCCTCCATGTCCACGTCTACGTCCACGTCCACGACCACGTCCAGGTCCACGTCCTTGCCACGTCCACGTCCACGTCCACGTCCATGTCCACGTGCACGTGCACGTCCACGTCTACGTCCACGTCCACGTCCACGTCCATGTCGAGGTCCACGTCCACGTCCAAGTCCACGTCCACGTCCACGTCCATGTCGAGGTCCACGTCCACGTCCACGTCCACGACCACGTCCACGTCCATGACCACGTTCACGTCCACGTCCACGTCCACGACCACGTCCACGTCCATGTCCACGTCCAAGTCCACGTCCAGGTCCACGTCCTCCTCCACGTCCACGTCCAGGTTTACGTCCACGTCCACGTCCACGTCCACGACCACGTCCAAGTCCACGTCCACAATCACGTCCACATCCACGTCCACGTCCAAGTCCACGTCCAGGTCCAAGTCCACGTCCACGTCCACGACCACGTCCACGTCCACGTCCACGTCCAGGTCCACGACCACGTCCACGTCCACGTCCACTTCCACGTCCACGACCACGTCCACGTCCACGTCCAGGTCCACGTCCACGTCCACGTGCACGTCCACGTCCATGTCCACGTCCACGTCCACGTCCACGTCATTGCCACGTCGACGTCCAAGTCCACGTCCACGTCCACGTCCATGTCGAGGTCCACGTCCACGTCCACGTCCACAACCACGTCCACGTCCATGACCACGTCCACGTCCACGTCCACGTCCACGACCACGTCCACGTCCATGTCCACGTCCAAGTCCACGTCCAGGTCCACGTCCTCCTCCACGTCCACGTCCAGGTTTACGTCCACGTCCACGTCCACGTCCACGACCACGTCCACGTCCACTTCCACGTCCACGACCACGTCCACGTCCACGTCCAGGTCCACGTCCACAACCACGTCCACGTCCACGTCCAAGTCCACGTCCACGTCCAAGTCCACGTCCACGTCCACGACCACGTCCACGTCCACGTCTACGTCCAGGTCCACATCCACGTCCATGACCACGTACACGTCTACGTCCACGTCCACGACCACGTCCACGTCCACGTCCACGTCCACGAACACGTCCACGTCCACGTCCAAGTCCACGTCCACGTCCACGTCCACGTTCGCGTCCAGGTCCACGTTCAGGTCCACGTCCACATCCAAGTCCACGTTCACGTCCACCTCAACGTCCACGTCCACGTCCACGACCACGTCCACCTCCACGTCTACGTCCACGTCCTCCATGTCCACGTCCACGTCCACGACCACGTCCAGGTCCACGTCCTTGCCACGTCCACGTCCACGTCTACGTCCACGTGCACGTCCACGTCCACGTCCAGGTCCAGGTCCACGTCCAAACCCACGTCCACGTCCACGTCCACGTCCAAGTCCACGTCCACGTCCATGTCCACGTCCACGTCTACGACCACGTCCACGTCCACGTCCACGTCCACGACCAAGTCCACGTCCACGTCCACGTCCACGTCCACGTCCTTGTCGAGGTCCACGTCCACGTCCACGTCCACGACCACGTCCACGTCCACGACCACGTCCACGTCCACCTCCACGTCCACGACCACGTCCACGTCCACGTCCACGTCCAAGTCCACGTCCACGTCCAGGTCCACGTCCACCTCCACGTCCACGTCCAGGTTTACGTCCACGTCCACGTCCACGTCCATGACCACGTCCACGTCCACGTCCACGTCCACTTCCACGTCTACGACCACGTCCACGTCCACGTCCATGTCCACGTCCAGGTCCAGGTCCACATCCATGTCCACGTCCACGTCCATGTCGAGGTCCACGTCCACGTCCACGTCCACGTCCACGACCACGTCCACGTCCACGACCACGTCCACGTCCACGTCCACGACCACGTCCACGTCCACGTCCACGTCCAAGTCCACGTCCACGTCCAGGTCCACGTCCACCTCCACGTCCACGTCCAGGTTTACGTCCAAGTCAACGTTCACGACCATGTCCACGTCCACGTCCTTGTCCACGTCCAGGTCCACGTCTACCTCCACGTCCACGTCCAGGTCCAGATCCACGTCCACGTCGACGTCCACGTCCACATCCACCTCCACGTCCCCGTCCACGTCCACGTCCACATCCACCTCCACCTCCACGTCCACGTCCACGTCCCCGTCCACATCCCATCCACGTCTACGTCCACGTCCACGTCCAGGTCCAGGTCCACGTCCACGTCCACGTCCGCGTCCACGTCCACGTCCACGTCCAAGTCCACGTCCACGTCCACGTCCACGTCCTCCATGTCCACGTCCACGTCCTCCACGTCCACGTCAATGTCCACGTCCACGTCCAAGTCCACGTCCACTTCTAGGTACACGTCCACATCCACGTCCAGGTCCAGGTCCACGTCCACGTCCACGTCCACGTCCACGACCTTTCCACGTCCACGTCCACGTCCACGACCACGTCCACGTCCACGTCCAGGTCCACGTCCACAACCACGTCCACGTCCACGTCCAAGTCCACGTCCAGGTCCAGATCCAGGTCCACGTCCAAGTCCACGTCTATGTCCACGTCCACGACCACGTCCACGTCCACGTCCACGTCCATGTCCAGGTCCACGTCCACGTCCACGTCCAGGTCCACGTCTAGATCCACGTCCACGTCCAAGTCCACGTTCACGTCCACCTCCACGTCCACGTCCATGTTCACGACCACGTCCACGTCCACGTCCAAGTCCACGTCCTCCATGTCCACGTCCACGTCCACGTCCACAACCACGTCCAGGTCCACGTCCTTGCCACGTCCACGTCCACGTCCTCCACGTCCACGTCCACGTCCTCCACGTCCATGTCCACGTCCAAGTCCACGTCCAAGTCCACGTCCAAGTCCACGTCCAGGTCCACGTCCACGTCCACGTCCACGTCTACGTCCACGTCCAGGTCCACGTCCACGTCCATGTCCAGGTCCACGTCCAGGTCCAAGTCCACGTCCAAGTCCACGTCCACGTCCACGACCACGTCCACGTCCACGTCCACGTCCTCCACGTCCACGTCCACGTCCACGACCACGTCCAGGTCCACGTCCTTGCCACATCCACGTCGACGTCTACGTCCTCCACGTCCACGTCCACGTCCACGTCCACAACCACGTCCACGACCACGTCCACGTCCACGTCCACGTCCGGGTCCACGTCCACGTCCAGGACCACGTCCACGTCCACGTCCAAGTCCACGTCCAAGTCCAGGTCCACGTCCAGGTCCAGGTCCACGTCCACGTCCACATCCACGTCCACGTCCAAGTCCAAGTCCATGTCCACGTCCACGTCCACGTGCACGACCACGTCCACGTCCACGTCCAAGTCCACGTCCAAGTCCACGTCCAGGTCCACGTCCACGTCCACGTCCACGTCCACGTCCACGTTCACGTCCTCGTCCACGTCTAGGTTCACGTCCACGTCCACGTCCAGGTCCACGTCCAGGTCCAAGTCCACGTCCAAGTCCACGTCCACGTCCACGACCACGTCCACGTCCACGTCCTCCACGTCCACGTCAACGTCCACGTCCATGTCCACGACCACGTCCACGTCCACGTCCTCCACGTCCACGTCCACGTCCACGTCCACGACCACGTCCACGTCCACGTCCACGTCCACGTCCACATCCACGTCCACGACCACGTCCACGTCCTCCACGTCCACGTCAATGTCCACGTCCACATCCACGTCCAAGTCCACATCCACGTCCACGTCCACGTCCAGGTCCACGTCCACGTCCACGTCCACGTCCAAGTCCACGTCCACGTCCAAGTCCACGTCCACGTCCACAACCACGTCCACGTCCACGTCCACGTCCAGGTCCACGTCCACGTCCACGTCCACGTCCACGACCACGTCCACGTACACGTCTACGTCCACGTCCACGACCACGTCCACGTCCACGTCCACATCCACGAACACGTCCACGTCCATATCCACGTCCACGTCCAAGTCCACGTCCACGTCCACGTTCACGTTCACGTCCAGGTCCACGTTCAGGTCCACGTCCACATCCAAGTCCACGTTCACGTCCACCTCCACGTCCACGTCCACGTCCACGACCACGTCCACGTCCACGTCCACGTCCTCCATGTCCACGTCCACGTCCACGACCACGTCCAGGTCCACGTCCAGGTCCAAGTCCACGTCCAAGTCCACGTCCACGTCCACGACCATGTCCACGTCCACGTCCACGTCCTCCACGTCCACGTCAACGTCCACGTCCATGTCCACGACCACGTCCACGTCCACGTCCTCCACGTCCACGTCCACGTCCACGTCCACGACCACGTCCACGTCCACGTCCACATCCACGTCCACGACCACGTCCACGTCCTCCACGTCCACGTCAATGTCCACGTCCACATCCACGTCCAAGTCCACATCCACGTCCACGTCCACGTCCAGGTCCACGTCCACGTCCACGTCCACGTCCAAGTCCATGTCCACGTCCAAGTCCACGTCCACGTCCACAACCACGTCCACGTCCACGTCCACGTCCAGGTCCACGTCCACGTCCACGTCCACGTCCACGACCATGTCCACGTACACGTCTACGTCCACGTCCACGACCACGTCCACGTCCACGTCCACATCCACGAACACGTCCACGTCCATATCCACGTCCACGTCCAAGTCCACGTCCACGTCCACGTTCACGTTCACGTCCAGGTCCACGTTCAGGTCCACGTCCACATCCAAGTCCACGTTCACGTCCACCTCCACGTCCACGTCCACGTCCACGACCACGTCCACGTCCACGTCCACGTCCTCCATGTCCACGTCCACGTCCACGACCACGTCCAGGTCCACGTCCTTGCCACGTCCACGTCCACGTCCACGTCCACGTGCACGTCCACGTCCACGTCGAGGTCCAGGTCCACGTCCAAACCCACGTCCACGTCCACGTCCACGTCCAAGTCCACGTCCACGTCCATGTCCACGTCCACGTCCACGACCACGTCCACGTCCACGTCCACGTCCACGTCCACGACCACGTCCACGTCCACGTCCACGTCCAAGTCCACGTCCACGTCCATGTCGAGGTCCACGTCCACGTCCACGTCCACGACCACGTCCACGTCCATGACCACGTCCACGTCCACGTCCACGTCCACGACCATGTCCACGTCCACGTCCATGTCCAGGTCCACGCCTAGATCCAAGTCCACGTCCACGTCCAAGTCCACGTTCACGTCCACCTCCACGTCCACGTCCATGTCCACGACCACGTCCACGTCCACGTCCAAGTCCACGTCCTCCATGTCCACGTCCACGTCCACGTCCACGTCCACGTCCACATCCACGTCCACGTCCACGTCCAGGTCCACGTCCTTGCCACGTCCACGTCCACGTCCTCCACGTCCATGTCCACGTCCAAGTCCACGTCCAGGTCCACGTCCTCCTCCACGTCCACGTCCAGGTTTACGTCCACGTCCACGTCCACGTCCACGACCACGTCCACGTCCACGTCCACGTCCACTTCCACGTCCACGACCACGTCCACGTCCACGTCCACGTCCACGTCCAGGTCCACATCCATGTCCACGTCCACGTCCACGTCCATGTCGAGGTCCACGTCCACGTCCACGTCCACGACCACGTCCACGTCCACGACCACGTCCACGTCCACGACCACGTCCACGTCCACGTCCACGTCCAAGTCCACGTCCACGTCCAGGTCCACGTCCACCTCCACGTCCACGTCCAGATTTACGTCCACGTCCACGTTCACGACCACGTCCACGTCCACGTCCACGTCCAGGTCCACGTCCACCTCCACGTCCACGTCCAGGTCCAGATCGACGTCCACGTCGACGTCCACGTCCACAACTGTTGAATAGTGCTTAGGAGCCATAACTTAGGAGTCTTGGTTTAGTTCGAGTAGTTGAGTTAGGAGAGTCGAGAAAGTTGAAAAAAGAGAAGAGAGGGGTTTCACTATAGAGCGAGCAGTACATATAGGCAAAAAGAAAGGTGCACCACCAAACGGAATATTGTATAACTACAGTAGTCTACACTACAGGCAGTTACAAAACAATATATAGATTTATATATTATTCTGACAACAACCACGTCCACGTCCACGTCCACGTCCACGTCCACATCCACCTCCACGTCCACGTCCACGTCCACGTCCAAGTCCACGTCCACGTCCAGGTCCACGTCCACCTCCACGTCCACGTCCAGGTTTACGTCCACGTCCACGTCCACGTCCACGACCACGTCCACGTCCACGTCCACGTCCACTTCCACGTCCACGACCACGTCCACGTCTACGTCCACGTCCAGGTCCAGGTCCACATCCATGTCCACGTCCACGTCCACGTCCATGTCGAGGTCCACGTCCACGTCCATGTCCACGTCCACGACCACGTCCACGTCCACGACCACGTCCACGTCCACGTCCACGACCACGTCCACATCCACGTCCACGTCCAAGTCCACGTCCACGTCCAGGTCCACGTCCACCTCCACGTCCACGTCCAGGTTTACGTCCAAGTCCACGTTCACGACCATGTCCACGTCCTCGTCCACGTCCACGTCCAGGTCCACGTCTACCTCCACCTCCACGTCCAGGTCCAGATCCACGTCCACGTCGACGTCCACGTCCACAACCACGTCCACGTCCACGTCCACGTCCACGTCCACATCCACCTCCACGTCCACGTCCACGTCCACATCCACCTCCACGTCCACGTCCACGTCCACGTCCACGTCCACATCCCATCCACGTCTACGTCCACATCCACGTCCACATCCAGGTCCAGGTCCACGTCCACGTCCACGTCCGCGTCCACGTCCAGGTCCACGTCCAAGTCCACGTCCACGTCCACGTCCACGTCCTCCATGTCCACGTCCACGTCCTCCACGTCCACGTCAATGTCCACGTCCACGTCCAAGTCCACGTCCACGTCTAGGTACACGTCCACATCCACGTCCAGGTCCAGGTCCACGTCCACGTCCACGTCCACGTCCACGTCCACGACCTTTCCACATCCACGTCCACGACCACGTCCACGTCCACGTCCAGGTCCACGTCCACGTCCACGTCCACGTCCAAGTCCTCGTCCAGGTCCAGGTCCAGGTCCACGTCCAAGTCCACGTCTATGTCCACGTCCACGACCACGTCCACGTCCACGTCCACGTCCATGACCATGTCCACGTCCACCTCCATGTCCAGGTCCACGCCTAGATCCAAGTCCACGTCCACGTCCAAGTCCACGTTCACGTCCACCTCCACGTCCACGTCCATGTCCACGACCACGTCCACGTCCACGTCCAAGTCCACGTCCTCCATGTCCACGTCCACGTCCACGTCCACAACCACGTCCAGGTCCACGTCCTTGCCACGTCCACGTCCACGTCCTCCACGTCCACGTCCACGTCCTCCACGTCCATGTCCACGTCCAAGTCCACGTCCAAGTCCACGTCCAAGTCCACGTCCAGGTCCACGTCCACGTCCACGTCCACGTCCACGTCTACGTCCACGTCCAGGTCCAGGTCCACGTCCATGTCCAGGTCCACGTCCAGGTCCAAGTCCACGTCCAAGTCCACGTCCACGTCCACGACCACGTCCACGTCCACGTCCACGTCCTCCACGTCCACGTCCACGTCCACGACCACGTCCAGGTCCACGTCCTTGCCACATCCACGTCCACGTCCACAACCACGTCCACGACCACGTCTACGTCCACGTCCACGTCCAGGTCCACGACCACGTCCACGTCCACGTCCACGTCCAAGTCCACGTCCAAGTCCAGGTCCACGTCCAGGTCCAGGTCCACGTCCACGTCCACATCCACGTCCACGTCCAAGTCCAAGTCCATGTCCACGTCCACGTCCACGTGCACGACCACGTCCACGTCCACGTCCAAGTCCACGTCCAAGTCCACGTCCAGGTCCACGTCCACGTCCACGTCCACGTTCACGTCCTCGTCCACGTCTAGGTTCACGTCCACGTCCACGTCCAGGTCCACGTCCAGGTCCACGTCCAAGTCCACGTCCAAGTCCAGGTCCACGTCCAGGTCCAGGTCCACGTCCACGTCCACATCCACGTCCACGTCCAAGTCCAAGTCCATGTCCACGTCCACGTCCACGTGCACGACCACGTCCACGTCCACGTCCAAGTCCACGTCCAAGTCCACGTCTAGGTCCACGTCCACGTCCACGTCCACGTTCACGTCCTCGTCCACGTCTAGGTTCACGTCCACGTCCACGTCCAGGTCCACGTCCAGGTCCAAGTCCACGTCCAAGTCCACGTCCACGTCCACGACCACGTCCACGTCCATGTCCACGTCCACGTCCTCCACGTCCACGTCCACATCCACGTCCACGACCACGTCCAGGTCCACGTCTTTGCCACGTCCACGTCCACGTCCACGTCCTCCACGTCCACGTCAACGTCCACGTCCACATCCACGTCCAAGTCCACGTCCACGTCCACGTCCACGTCCAGGTCCACGTCCACGTCCACGTCCACGTCCAAGTCCACGTCCACGTCCAAGTCCACGTCCACGTCCACAACCACGTCCACGTCCACGTCCACGTCCACGTCCACGACCACGTCCACGTCCACGTACACGTCTACGTCCACGTCCACGACCACGTCCACGTCCACGTCCACATCCACGAACACGTCCACGTCCATATCCACGTCCACGTCCAAGTCCACGTCCACGTCCACGTCCACGTTCACGTCCAGGTCCACGTTCAGGTCCACGTCCACATCCAAGTCCACGTTCACGTCCACCTCCACGTCCACGTCCACGTCCACGACCACGTCCACGTCCACGTCCACGTCCTCCATGTCCACGTCCACGTCCACGTCCACGACCACGTCCAGGTCCACGTCCTTGCCACGTCCACGTCCACGTCCACGTCCACGTGCACGTCCACGTCCACGTCGAGGTCCAGGTCCACGTCCAAACCCACGTCCACGTCCACGTCCAAGTCCACGTCCACGTCCATGTCCACGTCCACGTCCACGACCACGTCCACGTCCACGTCCACGTCCACGTCCACGTCCACGTCCACGTCCACGTCCATGTCCACGTCCACGACCACGTCCACGTCCACGTCCAAGTCCACGTCCACGTCCACGTCCACGTCCACGTCCACGACCACGTCCACGTCCACGACCACGTCCACGTCCACGTCCACGTCCACGTCCACGACCACGTCCACGTCCACGTCCACGTCCACGACCACGTCCACGTACATGACCACGTCCACGTCCAAGTCCACGTCCACGACCACGTCCACGTCCATGTCCACGTCCAAGTCCACGTCCAGGTCCACGTCCTCCTCCACGTCCACGTCCAGGTTTACGTCCACGTCCACGTCCACGTCCACGACCACGTCCACGTCCACGTCCACGTCCACTTCCACGTCCACGACCACGTCCACGTCCACGTCCACGTCCACGTCCACGTCCAGGTCCACATCCATGTCCACGTCCACGTCCACGTCCATGTCGAGGTCCACGTCCACGTCCACGTCCATGACCACGTCCACGTCCACGACCACGTCCACGTCCACGACCACGTCTACGTCCACGTCCACGTCCAAGTCCACGTCCACGTCCAGGTCCACGTCCACCTCCACGTCCACGTCCAGATTTACGTCCACGTCCACGTTCACGACCACGTCCACGTCCACGTCCAAGTCCACGTCCAGGTCCACGTCCACCTCCACGTCAACGTCCAGGTCCAGATCCACGTCCATGTCGACGTCCACGTCCACAACCACGTCCACGTCCACGTCCACGTCCACGTCCACATCCACCTCCACGTCCACGTCCACGTCCACGTCCAAGTCCACGTCCACGTCCAGGTCCACGTCCACCTCCACGTCCACGTCCAGGTTTACGTCCACGTCCACGTCCACGTCCACGTCCACGACCACGTCCACGTCCACGTCCACTTCCACGTCCACGACCACGTCCACGTCCACGTCCACGTCCAGGTCCAGGTCCACATCCATGTCCACGTCCACGTCCACGTCCATGTCGAGGTCCACGTCCACGTCCACGTCCACGTCCACGACCACGTCCACGTCCACGACCACGTCCACGTCCACGACCACGTCCACGTCCACGTCCACGTCCAAGTCCACGTCCACGTCCAGGTCCACGTCCACCTCCACGTCCACGTCCAGGTTTACGTCCAAGTCCACGTTCACGACCATGACCACGTCCACGTCCACGTCCACGTCCAGGTCCACGTCTACCTCCACCTCCACGTCCAGGTCCAGATCCACGTCCACGTCGACGTCCACGTCCACAACCACGTCCACGTCCACGTCCACGTCCACATCCACCTCCATGTCCACGTCCACGTCCACGTCCACGTCCACATCCACCTCCACGTCCACGTCCACGTCCACGTCCACATCCCATCCACGTCTACGTCCACGTCCACGTCCACGTCCAGGTCCAGGTCCACGTCAACGTCCACGTCCGCGTCCACGTCCAGGTCCACGTCCAAGTCCACGTCCACGTCCACGTCCTCCATGTCCACGTCCACGTCCTCCACGTCCACGTCAATGTCCACGTCCACGTCCAAGTCCACGTCCACGTCTAGGTACACGTCCACATCCACGTCCAGGTCCAGGTCCACGTCCACGTCCACGTCCACGTCCACGTCCACGTCCACGACCTTTCCACGTCCACGACCACGTCCACGTCCACGTCCAGGTCCACGTCCACAACCACGTCCACGTCCACGTCCACGTCCAAGTCCACGTCCAGGTCCAGGTCCAGGTCCACGTCCAAGTCCACGTCTATGTCCACGTCCACGACCACGTCCACGTCCACGTCCACGTCCATGTCCAGGTCCACGTCCACGTCCACGTCCAGGTCCACGTCTAGATCCACGTCCACGTCCACGTCCAAGTCCACGTTCACGTCCACCTCCACGTCCACGTCCATGTCCACGACCACGTCCACGTCCACGTCCAAGTCCACGTCCTCCATGTCCACGTCCACGTCCACGTCCACAACCACGTCCAGGTCCACGTCCTTGCCACGTCCACGTCCACGTCCTCCACGTCCACGTCCACGTCCTCCACGTCCATGTCCACGTCCAAGTCCACGTCCAAGTCCACGTCCAAGTCCACGTCCAGGTCCACGTCCACGTCCACGTCCACGTCCACGTCTACGTCCACGTCCAGGTCCACGTCCACGTCCATGTCCAGGTCCACGTCCAGGTCCAAGTCCACGTCCAAGTCCACGTCCACGTCCACGACCACGTCCACGTCCACGTCCACGTCCTCCACGTCCACGTCCACGTCCACGACCACGTCCAGGTCCACGTCCTTGCCACATCCACGTCCACGTCTACGTCCTCCACGTCCATGTCCACGTCCACGTCCACAACCACGTCCACGACCACGTCCACGTCCACGTCCAGGTCCACGTCCACGTCCACGACCACGTCCACGTCCACGTCCAAGTCCACGTCCAAGTCCAGGTCCACGTCCAGGTCCAGGTCCACGTCCACGTCCACATCCACGTCCACGTCCAAGTCCAAGTCCATGTCCACGTCCACGTCCACGTGCACGACCACGTCCACGTCCACGTCCAAGTCCACGTCCAAGTCCACGTCCAGGTCCACGTCCACGTCCACGTCCACGTCCACGTTCACGTCCTTGTCCACGTCTAGGTTCACGTCCACGTCCACGTCCAGGTCCACGTCCAGGTCCAAGTCCACGTCCAAGTCCACGTCCACGTCCACGACCACGTCCACGTCCACGTCCACGTCCACGTTCTCCACGTCCACGTCCACATCCACGTCCACGACCACGTCCAGGTCCACGTCCTTGCCACGTCCACGTCCACGTCCACGTCCTCCACGTCCACGTCAACGTCCACGTCCACATCCACGTCCAAGTCCACGTCCACGTCCACGTCCAGGTCCACGTCCACGTCCACGTCCAAGTCCACGTCCACGTCCAAGTCCACGTCCACGTCCACAACCACGTCCACGTCCACGTCCACGTCCACGTCCAGGTCCACGTCCACGTCCACGTCCACGTCCACGACCACGTCCACGTACACGTCTACGTCCACGTCCACGACCACGTCCACGTCCACGTCCACATCCACGAACACGTCCACGTCCATATCCACGTCCACGTCCAAGTCCACGTCCACGTCCACGTCCACGTTCACGTCCAGGTCCACGTTCAGGTCCACGTCCACATCCAAGTCCACGTTCACGTCCACCTCCACGTCCACGTCCACGTCCACGACCACGTCCACGTCCACGTCCACATCCTCCATGTCCACGTCCACGTCCACGACCACGTCCAGGTCCACGTCCTTGCCACGTCCACGTCCACGTCCACGTCCACGTGCACGTCCACGTCCACGTCGAGGTCCAGGTCCACGTCCAAACCCACGTCCACGTCCACGTCCACGTCCAAGTCCACGTCCACGTCCATGTCCACATCCACGTCCACGACCACGTCCACGTCCACGTCCACGACCACGTCCACGTCCACGTCCATGTCCACGTCCAAGTCCACGTCCACGTCCACGTCCATGTCGAGGTCCACGTCCACGTCCACGTCCACGACCACGTCCACGTCCATGACCAAGTCCAAGTCCACGTCCACGACCATATCCACGTCCATGTCCACGTCCAAGTCCACGTCCAGGTCCACGTCCTCCTCCACGTCCACGTCCAGGTTTACGTCCACGTCCACGTCCACGACCACGTCCACGTCCACGTCCACGACCACGTCCACGTCCACGTCCATGTCCACGTCCACGACCACGTCCACGTCCACGACCACGTCCACGTCCACGACCACATCCACGTCCACGTCCACGTCCAAGTCCACGTCCACGTCGATGTCCACGTCCACCTCCACGTCCACGTCCAGATTTACGTCCACGTCCACGTTCACGACCACGTCCACGTCCACGTCCACGTTCAGGTCCACGTCCACCTCCACGTCCACGTCCAGGTCCAGATCCACGTCCACGTCGACGTCCACGTCCACAACCACGTCCACGTCCACGTCCACGTCCACATCCACCTCCACGTCCACGTCCACGTCCACGTCCACGTCCAAGTCCACGTCCACGTCCAGGTCCACGTCCACCTCTACGTCCACATCCAGGTTTACGTCCACGTCCACGTCCACGACCACGTCCACGTCCACGTCCACTTCCACGTCCATGACCACGTCCACGTCCACGTCCAGGTCCAGGTCCAGGTCCACATCCATGTCCACGTCCACGTCCACGTCCATGTCGAGGTCCACGTCCACGTCCAGGTCCACGACCACGTCCACGTCCACGACCACGTCCACGTCCACGTCCACGACCACGTCCACGTCCAAGTCCACGTCCAAGTCCACGTCCATGTCCAGGTCCACGTCCACCTCCACGTCCACGTCCAGGTTTACGTCCAAGTCCACGTTCACGACCATGTCCACGTCCACGTCCACGTCCAGGTTCACGTCTACCTCCACCTCCACGTCCAGGTCCAGATCCACGTCCACGTCGACGTCCAGGTCCACGTCCAGGTCCACGTCCAGGTCCACGTCCAAGTCCACGTCCAAGTCCAGGTCCACGTCCAGGTCCAGGTCCACGTCCACGTCCACATCCACGTCCACGTCCAAGTCCAAGTCCATGTCCACGTCCACGTCCACGTGCACGACCACGTCCACGTCCACGTCCAAGTCCACGTCCAAGTCCACGTCTAGGTCCACGTCCACGTCCACGTCCACGTTCACGTCCTCGTCCACGTCTAGGTTCACGTCCACGTCCACGTCCAGGTCCACGTCCAGGTCCAAGTCCACGTCCAAGTCCACGTCCACGTCCACGACCACGTCCACGTCCATGTCCACGTCCACGTCCTCCACGTCCACGTCCACATCCACGTCCACGACCACGTCCAGGTCCACGTCTTTGCCACGTCCACGTCCACGTCCACGTCCACGTCCACGTCCACGTCCACGTCCACGTCCACATCCACGTCCACGTCCAAGTCCAAGTCCATGTCCACGTCCACGTCCACGTGCACGACCACGTCCACGTCCACGTCCAAGTCCACGTCCAAGTCCACGTCTAGGTCCACGTCCACGTCCACGTCCACGTTCACGTCCTCGTCCACGTCTAGGTTCACGTCCACGTCCACGTCCAGGTCCACGTCCAGGTCCAAGTCCACGTCCAAGTCCACGTCCACGTCCACGACCACGTCCACGTCCATGTCCACGTCCACGTCCTCCACGTCCACGTCCACATCCACGTCCACGACCACGTCCAGGTCCACGTCTTTGCCACGTCCACGTCCACGTCCACGTCCTCCACGTCCACGTCAACGTCCACGTCCACATCCACGTCCAAGTCCACGTCCACGTCCACGTCCACGTCCAGGTCCACGTCCACGTCCACGTCCACGTCCAAGTCCACGTCCACGTCCAAGTCCACGTCCACGTCCACAACCACGTCCACGTCCACGTCCACGTCCACGTCCACGACCACGTCCACGTCCACGTACACGTCTACGTCCACGTCCACGACCACGTCCACGTCCACGTCCACATCCACGAACACGTCCACGTCCATATCCACGTCCACGTCCAAGTCCACGTCCACGTCCACGTCCACGTTCACGTCCAGGTCCACGTTCAGGTCCACGTCCACATCCAAGTCCACGTTCACGTCCACCTCCACGTCCACGTCCACGTCCACGACCACGTCCACGTCCACGTCCACGTCCTCCATGTCCACGTCCACGTCCACGTCCACGACCACGTCCAGGTCCACGTCCTTGCCACGTCCACGTCCACGTCCACGTCCACGTGCACGTCCACGTCCACGTCGAGGTCCAGGTCCACGTCCAAACCCACGTCCACGTCCACGTCCAAGTCCACGTCCACGTCCATGTCCACGTCCACGTCCACGACCACGTCCACGTCCACGTCCACGTCCACGTCCACGTCCACGTCCACGTCCACGTCCATGTCCACGTCCACGACCACGTCCACGTCCACGTCCAAGTCCACGTCCACGTCCACGTCCACGTCCACGTCCACGACCACGTCCACGTCCACGACCACGTCCACGTCCACGTCCACGTCCACGTCCACGACCACGTCCACGTCCACGTCCACGTCCACGACCACGTCCACGTACATGACCACGTCCACGTCCAAGTCCACGTCCACGACCACGTCCACGTCCATGTCCACGTCCAAGTCCACGTCCAGGTCCACGTCCTCCTCCACGTCCACGTCCAGGTTTACGTCCACGTCCACGTCCACGTCCACGACCACGTCCACGTCCACGTCCACGTCCACTTCCACGTCCACGACCACGTCCACGTCCACGTCCACGTCCACGTCCACGTCCAGGTCCACATCCATGTCCACGTCCACGTCCACGTCCATGTCGAGGTCCACGTCCACGTCCACGTCCATGACCACGTCCACGTCCACGACCACGTCCACGTCCACGACCACGTCTACGTCCACGTCCACGTCCAAGTCCACGTCCACGTCCAGGTCCACGTCCACCTCCACGTCCACGTCCAGATTTACGTCCACGTCCACGTTCACGACCACGTCCACGTCCACGTCCAAGTCCACGTCCAGGTCCACGTCCACCTCCACGTCAACGTCCAGGTCCAGATCCACGTCCATGTCGACGTCCACGTCCACAACCACGTCCACGTCCACGTCCACGTCCACGTCCACATCCACCTCCACGTCCACGTCCACGTCCACGTCCAAGTCCACGTCCACGTCCAGGTCCACGTCCACCTCCACGTCCACGTCCAGGTTTACGTCCACGTCCACGTCCACGTCCACGTCCACGACCACGTCCACGTCCACGTCCACTTCCACGTCCACGACCACGTCCACGTCCACGTCCACGTCCAGGTCCAGGTCCACATCCATGTCCACGTCCACGTCCACGTCCATGTCGAGGTCCACGTCCACGTCCACGTCCACGTCCACGACCACGTCCACGTCCACGACCACGTCCACGTCCACGACCACGTCCACGTCCACGTCCACGTCCATGACCATGTCCACGTCCATGTCCACGTCCATGTTCACGTCCACGTCCACGTCCACGTCCATGTCCACGTCCACGTCCACGTCCACGTCCACGTCCACGTCCAGGTCCACGTCCACCTCCACGTCCACGTCCAGGTTTACGTCCAAGTCCACGTTCACGACCATGACCACGTCCACGTCCACGTCCACGTCCAGGTCCACGTCTACCTCCACCTCCACGTCCAGGTCCAGATCCACGTCCACGTCGACGTCCACGTCCACAACCACGTCCACGTCCACGTCCACGTCCACATCCACCTCCATGTCCACGTCCACGTCCACGTCCACGTCCACATCCACCTCCACGTCCACGTCCACGTCCACGTCCACATCCCATCCACGTCTACGTCCACGTCCACGTCCACGTCCAGGTCCAGGTCCACGTCAACGTCCACGTCCGCGTCCACGTCCAGGTCCACGTCCAAGTCCACGTCCACGTCCACGTCCTCCATGTCCACGTCCACGTCCTCCACGTCCACGTCAATGTCCACGTCCACGTCCAAGTCCACGTCCACGTCTAGGTACACGTCCACATCCACGTCCAGGTCCAGGTCCACGTCCACGTCCACGTCCACGTCCACGTCCACGTCCACGACCTTTCCACGTCCACGACCACGTCCACGTCCACGTCCAGGTCCACGTCCACAACCACGTCCACGTCCACGTCCACGTCCAAGTCCACGTCCAGGTCCAGGTCCAGGTCCACGTCCAAGTCCACGTCTATGTCCACGTCCACGACCACGTCCACGTCCACGTCCACGTCCATGTCCAGGTCCACGTCCACGTCCACGTCCAGGTCCACGTCTAGATCCACGTCCACGTCCACGTCCAAGTCCACGTTCACGTCCACCTCCACGTCCACGTCCATGTCCACGACCACGTCCACGTCCACGTCCAAGTCCACGTCCTCCATGTCCACGTCCACGTCCACGTCCACAACCACGTCCAGGTCCACGTCCTTGCCACGTCCACGTCCACGTCCTCCACGTCCACGTCCACGTCCTCCACGTCCATGTCCACGTCCAAGTCCACGTCCAAGTCCACGTCCAAGTCCACGTCCAGGTCCACGTCCACGTCCACGTCCACGTCCACGTCTACGTCCACGTCCAGGTCCACGTCCACGTCCATGTCCAGGTCCACGTCCAGGTCCAAGTCCACGTCCAAGTCCACGTCCACGTCCACGACCACGTCCACGTCCACGTCCACGTCCTCCACGTCCACGTCCACGTCCACGACCACGTCCAGGTCCACGTCCTTGCCACATCCACGTCCACGTCTACGTCCTCCACGTCCATGTCCACGTCCACGTCCACAACCACGTCCACGACCACGTCCACGTCCACGTCCAGGTCCACGTCCACGTCCACGACCACGTCCACGTCCACGTCCAAGTCCACGTCCAAGTCCAGGTCCACGTCCAGGTCCAGGTCCACGTCCACGTCCACATCCACGTCCACGTCCAAGTCCAAGTCCATGTCCACGTCCACGTCCACGTGCACGACCACGTCCACGTCCACGTCCAAGTCCACGTCCAAGTCCACGTCCAGGTCCACGTCCACGTCCACGTCCACGTCCACGTTCACGTCCTTGTCCACGTCTAGGTTCACGTCCACGTCCACGTCCAGGTCCACGTCCAGGTCCAAGTCCACGTCCAAGTCCACGTCCACGTCCACGACCACGTCCACGTCCACGTCCACGTCCACGTTCTCCACGTCCACGTCCACATCCACGTCCACGACCACGTCCAGGTCCACGTCCTTGCCACGTCCACGTCCACGTCCACGTCCTCCACGTCCACGTCAACGTCCACGTCCACATCCACGTCCAAGTCCACGTCCACGTCCACGTCCAGGTCCACGTCCACGTCCACGTCCAAGTCCACGTCCACGTCCAAGTCCACGTCCACGTCCACAACCACGTCCACGTCCACGTCCACGTCCACGTCCAGGTCCACGTCCACGTCCACGTCCACGTCCACGACCACGTCCACGTACACGTCTACGTCCACGTCCACGACCACGTCCACGTCCACGTCCACATCCACGAACACGTCCACGTCCATATCCACGTCCACGTCCAAGTCCACGTCCACGTCCACGTCCACGTTCACGTCCAGGTCCACGTTCAGGTCCACGTCCACATCCAAGTCCACGTTCACGTCCACCTCCACGTCCACGTCCACGTCCACGACCACGTCCACGTCCACGTCCACATCCTCCATGTCCACGTCCACGTCCACGACCACGTCCAGGTCCACGTCCTTGCCACGTCCACGTCCACGTCCACGTCCACGTGCACGTCCACGTCCACGTCGAGGTCCAGGTCCACGTCCAAACCCACGTCCACGTCCACGTCCACGTCCAAGTCCACGTCCACGTCCATGTCCACATCCACGTCCACGACCACGTCCACGTCCACGTCCACGACCACGTCCACGTCCACGTCCATGTCCACGTCCAAGTCCACGTCCACGTCCACGTCCATGTCGAGGTCCACGTCCACGTCCACGTCCACGACCACGTCCACGTCCATGACCAAGTCCAAGTCCACGTCCACGACCATATCCACGTCCATGTCCACGTCCAAGTCCACGTCCAGGTCCACGTCCTCCTCCACGTCCACGTCCAGGTTTACGTCCACGTCCACGTCCACGACCACGTCCACGTCCACGTCCACGACCACGTCCACGTCCATGTCCACGTCCACGACCACGTCCACGTCCACGACCACGTCCACGTCCACGACCACATCCACGTCCACGTCCACGTCCAAGTCCACGTCCACGTCGATGTCCACGTCCACCTCCACGTCCACGTCCAGATTTACGTCCACGTCCACGTTCACGACCACGTCCACGTCCACGTCCACGTTCAGGTCCACGTCCACCTCCACGTCCACGTCCAGGTCCAGATCCACGTCCACGTCGACGTCCACGTCCACAACCACGTCCACGTCCACGTCCACGTCCACATCCACCTCCACGTCCACGTCCACGTCCACGTCCACGTCCAAGTCCACGTCCACGTCCAGGTCCACGTCCACCTCTACGTCCACATCCAGGTTTACGTCCACGTCCACGTCCACGACCACGTCCACGTCCACGTCCACTTCCACGTCCATGACCACGTCCACGTCCACGTCCAGGTCCAGGTCCAGGTCCACATCCATGTCCACGTCCACGTCCACGTCCATGTCGAGGTCCACGTCCACGTCCAGGTCCACGACCACGTCCACGTCCACGACCACGTCCACGTCCACGTCCACGACCACGTCCACGTCCAAGTCCACGTCCAAGTCCACGTCCATGTCCAGGTCCACGTCCACCTCCACGTCCACGTCCAGGTTTACGTCCAAGTCCACGTTCACGACCATGTCCACGTCCACGTCCACGTCCAGGTTCACGTCTACCTCCACCTCCACGTCCAGGTCCAGATCCACGTCCACGTCGACGTCCACGTCCACAACCACGTCCACGTCCACGTCCACGTCCACGTCCACATCCACCTCCACGTCCACGTCCACGTCCACGTCCACATCCACCTCCACGTCCACGTCCACGTCCACATCCCATCCACCTCCACGTCCACGTCCACCTCCACGTCCACGTCTACGTCCACGTCCACGTCCATGTCCAGGTCCAGGTCCACGTCCACGTCCACGTCCGCGTCAACGTCCAGGTCCACGTCCAAGTCCACGTCCACGTCCTCCATGTCCACGTCCACGTCCTCCACGTCCACGTCAATGTCCACGTCCACGTCCAAGTCCACGTCCACGTCTAGGTACACGTCCACATCCACGTCCAGGTCCACGTCCACGACCTTTTCACGTCCACGTCCACGTCCACGACCACGTCCACGTCCACGTCCAGGTCCACGTCCACAACCACGTCCACGTCCACGTCCAAGTCCACGTCCAGGTCCAGGTCCAGGTCCACGTCCAAGTCCACGTCTATGTCCACGTCCACGAACACGTCCACGTCCACGTCCACGTCCATGTCCAGGTCCACGTCCACGTCCAGGTCCACGTCTAGATCCACGTCCATGTCCACGTCCAAGTCCACGTTCACGTCCACCTCCACGTCCACCTCCATGTCCACGACCACGTCCACGTCCACGTCCAAGTCCACGTCCTCCATGTCCACGTCCACGTCCACGTCCACAACCACGTCCAGGTCCACGTCCTTGCCACGTCCACGTCCACGTCCTCCACGTCCACGTCCACGTCCTCCACGTCCATGTCCACGTCCAAGTCCACGTCCAAGTCCACGTCCAAGTCCACGTCCAGGTCCACGTCCACGTCCACGTCCACGTCTACATCCACGTCCAGGTCCACGTCCACGTCCATGTCCAGGTCCACGTCCAGGTCCAAGTCCAAGTCCAAGTCCACGTCCACGTCCACGACCACGTCAGTCCACGTCCACGTCCTCCACGTCCACGTCCACGTCCACGACCACGTCCAGGTCCACGTCCTTGCCACATCCACGTCCACGTCTACGTCCTCCACGTCCACGTCCACGTCCACGTCCACAACCACGTCCACGACCACGTCCACGTCCACGTCCACGTCCAGGTCCACGTCCACGTCCACGACCACGTCCACGTCCACGTCCACGTCCACGTCCAAGTCCACGTCCAAGTCCAGGTCCACGTCCAGGTCCAGGTCCACGTCCACGTCCACATCCACGTCCACGCCCAAGTCCAAGTCCATGTCCACGTCCACGTCCACGTGCACGACCACGTCCACGTCCACGTCCAAGTCCAAGTCCAAGTCCACGTCCAGGTCCACGTCCACGTCCACGTCCACGTTCACGTCCTCGTCCACGTCTAGGTTCACGTCCACGTCCACGTCCAGGTCCACGTCCAGGTCCAAGTCCACGTCCAAGTCCACGTCCACGTCCACGACCACGTCCACGTCCACGACCACGTCCACGTCCACGTTCACGTCCACGTCCACGTCCACGTCCTCCACGTCCACGTCCACATCCACGTCCACGACCACGTCCAGGTCCACGTCCTTGCCACGTCCACGTCCACGTCCTCCACGTCCACGTCAACGTCCACGTCCACATCCACGTCCAAGTCCACGTCCACGTCCACGTCCACGTCCAGGTCCACGTCCACGTCCACGTCCACGTCCAAGTCCACATCCACGTCCAAGTCCACGTCCACGTCCACGTCCAGGTCCACGTCCACGTCCACGTCCACATCCAGGTCCACGTCCACGTCCACGTCCACGTCCACGACCACGTCCACGTACACGTCTACGTCCACGTCCACGACCACGTCCACGTCCACGTCCATATCCACGAACACGTCCACGTCCATATCCACGTCCACGTCCAAGTCCACGTCCACGTCGACGTCCACGTTCACGTCCAGGTCCACGTTCAGGTCCACGTCCACATCCAAGTCCACGTTCACGTCCACCTCCACGTCCACGTCCACGTCCACGACCACGTCCACGTCCACGTCCTCCATGTCCACGTCCACGTCCACGTCCACGACCACGTCCAGGTCCACGTCCTTGCCACGTCCACGTCCACGTCCACGTCCACGTCCACGTGCACGTGCACGTCCACATCGAGGTCCAGGTCCACGTCCAAACCCACGTCCACGTCCACGTCCACGTCCAAGTCCACGTCCACGTCCATGTCCACGTCCACGTCCACGACCACGTCCACGTCCACGTCCACGTCCACGTCCACGACCACGTCCACGTCCACGTCCACGTCCACGTCCACGTCCAAGTCCACGTCCACGTCCACGTCCATGTCGAGGTCCACGTCCACGTCCACGTCCACGACCACGTCCACGTCCATGACCACGTCCACGTCCACGTCCACGTCCACGACCACGTCCATGTCCACGTCCAAGTCCACGTCCAGGTCCACGTCCTCCTCCACGTCCACGTCTAGGTTTACGTCCACGTCCACGTCCACGACCACGTCCACGTCCACGTCCACGTCCACTTCCACGTCCACAACCACGTCCACGTCCACGTCCACGTCCAGGTCCACATCCATGTCCACGTCCACGTCCATGTCGAGGTCCACGTCCACGTCCACGTCCACGACCACGTCCACGTCCACGACCACGTCCACGTCCACGTCCACGACCACGTCCACGTCCACGTCCACGTCCAAGTCCACGTCCACGTCCAGGTCCACGTCCACCTCCACGTCCACGTCCAGATTTACGTCCACGTCCACGTTCACGACCACGTCTACGTCCACGTCCACGTCCACGTCCAGGTCCAGGTCCACGTCCACGTCCACGTCCGCGTCCACGTCCAGGTCCACGTCCAAGTCCACGTCCACGTCCACGTCCACGTCCTCCATGTCCACGTCCACGTCCTCCACGTCCACGTCAATGTCCACGTCCACGTCCAAGTCCACGTCTAGGTACACGTCCACATCCACGTCCAGGTCCGAGTCCACGTCCACGTCCACGTCCACGTCCACGTCCACGACCTTTCCACGTCCACGTCCACGTCCACGACCACGTCCACGTCCACGTCCAGGTCCACGTCCACAACCACGTCCACGTCTACGTCCACGTCCAAGTCCACGTCCAGGTCCAGGTCCAGGTCCACGTCCAAGTCCACGTCTATGTCCACGTCCACGACCACGTCCACGTCCACGTCCACGTCTATGTCCAGGTCCACGTCCACGTCCACGTCCAGGTCCACGTCTAGATCCACGTCCACGTCCACGTCCAAGTCCACGTTCACGTCCACCTCCACGTCCACGTCCATGTCCACGACCACGTCCACGTCCACGTCTAAGTCCACGTCCTCCATGTCCACGTCCACGTCCACGTCCACAACCACGTCCAGGTCCACGTCCTTGCCACGTCCACGTCCACGTCCTCCACATCCACGTCCACGTCCTCCACGTCCATGTCCACGTCCAAGTCCACGTCCAAGTCCACGTCCAAGTCCACGTCCAGGTCTACGTCCACGTCCACGTCCAGGTCCACGTCCACGTCCATGTCCAGGTCCACGTCCAGGTCCAAGTCCACGTCCAAGTCCACGTCCACGTCCACGACCACGTCCACGTCCACGTCCTCCACGTCCACGTCCACGTCCACGACCACGTCCAGGTCCACGTCCTTGCCACATCCACGTCCACGTCTACGTCCTCCACGTCCACGTCCACGTCCACGTCCACAACCACGTCCACGACCACGTCCACGTCCACGTCCACATCCAGGTCCACGTCCACGTCCACGATCACGTCCACGTCCACGTCCACGTCCAAGTCCACGTCCAAGTCCAGGTCCACGTCCAGGTCCAGGTCCACGTCCACGTCCACATCCACGTCCACGTCCAAGTCCAAGTCCATGTCCACGTCCACGTCCACGTGCACGACCACGTCCACGTCCACGTCCAAGTCCACGTCCAAGTCCACGTCCAGGTCCACGTCCACGTCCACGTCCACGTTCACGTCCTCGTCCACGTCTAGGTTCATGTCCATGTCCACGTCCAGGTCCACGTCCCGGTCCAAGTCCACGTCCAAGTCCACGTCCACGTCCACGACCACGTCCACGTCCACGTCCTCCATGTCCACGTCCACATCCACGTCCACGACCACGTCCAGGTCCACGTCCTTGCCACGTCCACGTCCACGTCCACGTCCTCCACGTCCACGTCAACGTCCACGTCCACATCCACGTCCAAGTCCACGTCCACGTCCACGTCCACGTCCACGTCCAGGTCCACGTCCACGTCCACGTCGACGTCCAAGTCCACGTCCACGTCCAAGTCCACGTCCACGTCCACAACCACGTCCACGTCCACGTCCACGTCCACGTCCAGGTCCACGTCCACGTCCACGTCCACGACCACGTCTACGTACACGTCTACGTCCACGTCCACGACCACGTCCACGTCCACGTCCACATCCACGAACACGTCCACGTCCATATCCACGTCCACGTCCAAGTCCACGTCCACGTCGACGTCCACGTTCACGTCCAGGTCCACGTTCAGGTCCACGTCCACATCCAAGTCCACGTTCACGTCCACCTCAACGTCCACGTCCACGTCCACGACCACGTCCACGTCCACGTCCACGTCCTCCATGTCCACGTCCACGTCCACGTCCACGACCATGTCCAGGTCCACGTCCTTGCCACGTCCACGTCCACGTCCACGTGCACGTCCACGTCCATGTCGAGGTCCAGGTCCACGTCCAAACCCACGTCCACGTCCACGTCCACGTCCAAGTCCACGTCCACGTCCATGTCCACGTCCACGTCCACGACCACGTCCACGTCCACGTCCACGTCCACGACCACGTCCACGTCCACGTCCACGTCCAAGTCCACGTCCACGTCCACGTCCATGTCGAGGTCCACGTCCACGTCCACGTCCACGACTACGTCCACGTCCATGACCAATCCACGTCCACGTCCACGTCCACGACCACGTCCACGTCCATGTCCATGTCCAAGTCCACGTCCAGGTCCACGTCCTCCTCCACGTCCACGTCCAGGTTTACGTCCACGTCCACGTCCACGTCCACGACCACGTCCACGTCCACGTCCACGTCCACTTCCACGTCCACGACCAGGTCCACGTCCACGTCCACGTCCACGTCCAGGTCCACATCCATGTCCACGTCCACGTCCACGTCCATGTCGAGGTCCACGTCCACGTCCACGTCCACGACCACGTCCACGTCCACGACCACGTCCACGTCCACGACCACGTCCACGTCCACGTCCACGTCCAAGTCCACGTCCACGTCCAGGTCCACGTCCACCTCCACGTCCACGTCCAGATTTACGTCCACGTCTACGTTCACGACCACGTCCACGTCCACGTCCACGTCCACGTCCAGGTCCACGTCCACCTCCACGTCCACGTCCAGGTCCAGATCCACGTCCACGTCGACGTCCACGTCCACAACCACGTCCACGTCCACGTCCACGTCCACGTCCACATCCACGTCCACGTCCACGTCCACGTCCACGTCCAAGTCCACGTCCACGTCCAGGTCCACGTCCACCTCCACGTCCACGTCTAGGTTTACGTCCACGTCCACGTCCACGTCCACGACCACGTCCACGTCCACGTCCACGTCCACGTCCACTTCCACGTCCACGACCACGTCCACGTCCACGTCCACGTCCAGGTCCAGGTCCACATCCATGTCCACGTCCACGTCCACGTCCATGTCGAGGTCCACGTCCACGTCCACGTCCTCGTCCACGACCACGTCCACGTCCACGACCACGTCCACGTCCACGTCCACGATCACGTCCACGTCCACGTCCACGTCCAAGTCCACGTCCACGTCCAGGTCCACGTCCACCTCCACGTCCACGTCCAGGTTTACGTCCAAGTCCACGTTCACGACCATGTCCACGTCCACGTCCACGTCCACGTCCAGGTCCACGTCTACCTCCACCTCCACGTCCAGGTCCAGATCCACGTCCACGTCGACGTCCACGTCCACAACCACGTCCACGTCCACGTCCACGTCCACATCCACCTCCACGTCCACGTCCACGTCCACGTCCACGTCCACGTCCACATCCACCTCCACGTCCACATCCACGTCCACGTCCACATCCCATCCACGTCTACGTCCACGTCCACGTCCACGTCTAGGTCCACGTCCACGTCCACGTCCACGTCCGCGTCCAGATCCAGGTCCACGTCCAAGTCCACGTCCACGTCCACGTCCTCCATGTCCACGTCCACGTCCTCCACGTCCACGTCAATGTCCACGTCCACGTCCAAGTCCACGTCCACGTCTAGGTACACGTCCACATCCACGTCCAGGTCCAGGTCCACGTCCACGTCCACGTCCACGTCCACGTCCACGTCCACGTCCACGACCTTTCCACGTCCACGTCCACGTCCACGACCACGTCCACGTCCACGTCCAGGTCCACGTCCACAACCACGTCCACGTCCACGTCCAAGTCCACGTCCAGGTCCAGGTCCAGGTCCACGTCCAAGTGCACGTCTATGTCCACGTCCACGAACACGTCCACGTCCACGTCCACGTCCATGTCCAGGTCCACGTCCACGTCCAGGTCCACGTCAAGATCCACGTCCACGTCCACGTCCATGTCCACGACCACGTCCACGTCCACGTCCAAGTCCACGTCCTCCATGTCCACGTCCACGTCCACGTCCACAACCACGTCCAGGTCCACGTCCTTGCCACGTCCACGTCCACGTCCTCCACGTCCACGTCCACGTCCTTCACGTCCATGTCCACGTCCAAGTCCACGTCCAAGTCCACGTCCAAGTCCACGTCCAGGTCCACGTCCACGTCCACGTCCACGTCTACGTCCACGTCCAGGTCCACGTCCACGTACATGTCCAGGTCCACGTCCAGGTCCACGTCAGTCCACGTCCACGTCCTCCACGTCCACGTCCACGTCCACGACCACGTCCAGGTCCACGTCCTTGCCACATCCACGTCCACGTCTACGTCCTCCACGTCCACGTCCACGTCCACGTCCACGACCACGTCAGTCCACGTCCACGTCCAGGTCCACGTCCACGTCCACGACCACGTCCACGTCCACGTCCAAGTCCACGTCCAAGTCCAGGTACACGTCCAGGTCCAGGTCCACGTCCACGTCCACATCCACGTCCACGTCCAAGTCCAAGTCCATGTCCACCTCTACGTCCACGTGCACGACCACGTCCACGTCCACGTCCAAGTCCACGTCCAAGTCCACGTCCAGGTCCACGTCCACGTCCACGTTTACGTCCTCGTCCACGTCTAGGTTCACGTCCACGTCCACGTCCAGGTCCACGTCCAGGTCCAAGTCCACGTCCAAGTCCACGTCCACGTCCACGACCACGTCCACGTCCACGTCCACGTCCACGTCCTCCACGTCCACGTCCACATCCACGTCCACGACCACGTCCAGGTCCACGTCCTTGCCACGTCCACGTCCACGTCCATGTCCTCCACGTCCACGTCAACGTCCACGTCCACATCCACGTCCAAGTCCACGTCCACGTCCACGTCCACGTCCAGGTCCACGTCCACGTCCACGTCCACGACCACGTCCACGTACACGTCTACGTCCACGTCCACGACCACGTCCACGTCCACGTCCACATCCACGAACACGTCCACGTCCATATCCACGTCCACGTCCAAGTCCACGTCCATGTCCACGTCCACGTTCACGTCCAGGTCCACGTTCAGGTCCACGTCCACATCCAAGTCCACGTTCACGTCCACCTCCACGTCCACGTCCACGTCCACGACCACGTCCACATCCACGTCCACGTCCTCCATGTCCACGTCCACGTCCACGTCTTCGACCACGTCCAGGTCCACGTCCTTGCCACGTCCACGTCCACGTCCACGTCCACGTCCACGTGCACGTGCACGTCCACGTCGAGGTCCAGGTCCACGTCCAAACCCACGTCCACGTCCACGTCCAAGTCCACGTCCACGTCCATGTCCACGTCCACGTCCACGACCACGTCCACGTCCACGTCCACGTCCACGTCCACGTCCACGTCCAAGTCCACGTCCACGTCCACGTCCATGTCGAGGTCCACGTCCACGTCCACGTCCACGACCACGTCCACGTCCATGACCACGTCCACATCCACGTCCACGTCCACGACCACGTCCTTGTCCATGTCCACGTCCAAGTCCACGTCCAGGTCCACGTCCTCCTCCACGTCCACGTCTAGGTTTACGTCCACGTCCACGTCCACGTCCACGACCACGTCCACGTCCACGTCCACTTCCACGTCCACAACCACGTCCACGTCCACATCCACGTCCACGTCCACGTCCAGGTCCACATCCATGTCCACGTCCACGTCCATGTGGAGGTCCACGTCCACGTCCACGACCACGTCCACGTCCACGACCACGTCCACGTCCACGTCCACGACCACGTCCACGTCCACGTCCACGTCCAAGTCCATGTCCACGTCCAGGTCCACGTCCACCTCCACGTCCACGTCCAGATTTACGTCCATGTCCACGTTCACGACCACGTCCTTGTCTACGTCCACGTCCACGTCCAGGTCCACATCCACCTCCACGTCCACGTCCAGGTCCAGATCCACGTCCACGTCGACGTCCACGTCCACAACCACGTCCACGTCCACGTCCACGTCCACATCCACCTCCACGTCCACGTCCACGTCCACGTCCACGTCCACATCAACCTCTACGTCCACGTCCACGTCCACGTCCACATCCCATCCACGTCCACGTCCACGTCCACATCCAGGTCCAGGTCCAGATCCAGGTCCACGTCCGCGTTTACGTCCAGGTCCACGTCCAAGTCCACGTCTACGTCCACATCCACGTCCACGTCCTCCACGTCCACGTCCACGTCCTAAATGTCCACGTCAATGTCCACGTCCACGTCCAAGTCCACGTCCACGTCCAGGTACACGTCCACGTCCAGGTCCACGTCCACGTCCACGACCTTTCCACGTCCACGTCCACGTCCACGACCACGTCCACGTCCACATCCACGTCCACGTCTATGTCCACGTCCTGGTCCACGTCCAAGTCCACGTCAATGTCCACGTCCACGTTCACGACCACGTCCACGTCCACGTCCACGTCCACGACCACGTCCACGTCCAGGTCCACGTCCACGTCCACGTCCACGACCACGTCCACGTCCACGTCCACGTCCACGTCCACGACCACGTCCACGTCCACGTCCACGTCCACGACCACGTCCACGTCCACGTCCACGACCACGTCCACGTCCACGTCCACGTCCATGTCCACAACCACGTCCACTTCCACGTCCACGTCCACGTCCAAGTCCACGTCCAGGTCCACGTCCACGTCCAAGTCCACGTCAAGGTCCACGTCTACCTCCAAGTCCACGTCCGGGTCCACGTCCACGTCCACGTCCACGTCCAGGACCACGTCCTCGTCCACGTCCACGTCCACGACCACGTCCACGTCCACGTCCACGTCCACGTCCACGTCCAGGTCCAGGTCCACATCCATGTCCACGTCCACGTCCACGTCCATGTCGAGGTCCACGTCCACGTCCACGTCCTCGTCCACGACCACGTCCACGTCCACGACCACGTCCACGTCCACGTCCACGATCACGTCCACGTCCACGTCCACGTCCAAGTCCACGTCCACGTCCAGGTCCACGTCCACCTCCACGTCCACGTCCAGGTTTACGTCCAAGTCCACGTTCACGACCATGTCCACGTCCACGTCCACGTCCACGTCCAGGTCCACGTCTACCTCCACCTCCACGTCCAGGTCCAGATCCACGTCCACGTCGACGTCCACGTCCACAACCACGTCCACGTCCACGTCCACGTCCACATCCACCTCCACGTCCACGTCCACGTCCACGTCCACGTCCACGTCCACATCCACCTCCACGTCCACATCCACGTCCACGTCCACATCCCATCCACGTCTACGTCCACGTCCACGTCCACGTCTAGGTCCACGTCCACGTCCACGTCCACGTCCGCGTCCAGATCCAGGTCCACGTCCAAGTCCACGTCCACGTCCACGTCCTCCATGTCCACGTCCACGTCCTCCACGTCCACGTCAATGTCCACGTCCACGTCCAAGTCCACGTCCACGTCTAGGTACACGTCCACATCCACGTCCAGGTCCAGGTCCACGTCCACGTCCACGTCCACGTCCACGTCCACGTCCACGACCTTTCCACGTCCACGTCCACGTCCACGACCACGTCCACGTCCACGTCCAGGTCCACGTCCACAACCACGTCCACGTCCACGTCCAAGTCCACGTCCAGGTCCAGGTCCAGGTCCACGTCCAAGTGCACGTCTATGTCCACGTCCACGAACACGTCCACGTCCACGTCCACGTCCATGTCCAGGTCCACGTCCACGTCCAGGTCCACGTCAAGATCCACGTCCACGTCCACGTCCATGTCCACGACCACGTCCACGTCCACGTCCAAGTCCACGTCCTCCATGTCCACGTCCACGTCCACGTCCACAACCACGTCCAGGTCCACGTCCTTGCCACGTCCACGTCCACGTCCTCCACGTCCACGTCCACGTCCTTCACGTCCATGTCCACGTCCAAGTCCACGTCCAAGTCCACGTCCAAGTCCACGTCCAGGTCCACGTCCACGTCCACGTCCACGTCTACGTCCACGTCCAGGTCCACGTCCACGTACATGTCCAGGTCCACGTCCAGGTCCACGTCAGTCCACGTCCACGTCCTCCACGTCCACGTCCACGTCCACGACCACGTCCAGGTCCACGTCCTTGCCACATCCACGTCCACGTCTACGTCCTCCACGTCCACGTCCACGTCCACGTCCACGACCACGTCAGTCCACGTCCACGTCCAGGTCCACGTCCACGTCCACGACCACGTCCACGTCCACGTCCAAGTCCACGTCCAAGTCCAGGTACACGTCCAGGTCCAGGTCCACGTCCACGTCCACATCCACGTCCACGTCCAAGTCCAAGTCCATGTCCACCTCTACGTCCACGTGCACGACCACGTCCACGTCCACGTCCAAGTCCACGTCCAAGTCCACGTCCAGGTCCACGTCCACGTCCACGTTTACGTCCTCGTCCACGTCTAGGTTCACGTCCACGTCCACGTCCAGGTCCACGTCCAGGTCCAAGTCCACGTCCAAGTCCACGTCCACGTCCACGACCACGTCCACGTCCACGTCCACGTCCACGTCCTCCACGTCCACGTCCACATCCACGTCCACGACCACGTCCAGGTCCACGTCCTTGCCACGTCCACGTCCACGTCCATGTCCTCCACGTCCACGTCAACGTCCACGTCCACATCCACGTCCAAGTCCACGTCCACGTCCACGTCCACGTCCAGGACCACGTCCACGTCCACGTCCACGTCCAAGTCCACGTCCACGTCCAAATCCACGTCCACGTCCACAACCACGTCCACGTCCACGTCCACGTCCAGGTCCACGTCCACGTCCACGTCCACGACCACGTCCACGTACACGTCTACGTCCACGTCCACGACCACGTCCACGTCCACGTCCACATCCACGAACACGTCCACGTCCATATCCACGTCCACGTCCAAGTCCACGTCCATGTCCACGTCCACGTTCACGTCCAGGTCCACGTTCAGGTCCACGTCCACATCCAAGTCCACGTTCACGTCCACCTCCACGTCCACGTCCACGTCCACGACCACGTCCACATCCACGTCCACGTCCTCCATGTCCACGTCCACGTCCACGTCTTCGACCACGTCCAGGTCCACGTCCTTGCCACGTCCACGTCCACGTCCACGTCCACGTCCACGTGCACGTGCACGTCCACGTCGAGGTCCAGGTCCACGTCCAAACCCACGTCCACGTCCACGTCCAAGTCCACGTCCACGTCCATGTCCACGTCCACGTCCACGACCACGTCCACGTCCACGTCCACGTCCACGTCCACGTCCAAGTCCACGTCCACGTCCACGTCCATGTCGAGGTCCACGTCCACGTCCACGTCCACGACCACGTCCACGTCCATGACCACGTCCACATCCACGTCCACGTCCACGACCACGTCCTTGTCCATGTCCACGTCCAAGTCCACGTCCAGGTCCACGTCCTCCTCCACGTCCACGTCTAGGTTTACGTCCACGTCCACGTCCACGTCCACGACCACGTCCACGTCCACGTCCACTTCCACGTCCACAACCACGTCCACGTCCACATCCACGTCCACGTCCACGTCCAGGTCCACATCCATGTCCACGTCCACGTCCATGTGGAGGTCCACGTCCACGTCCACGACCACGTCCACGTCCACGACCACGTCCACGTCCACGTCCACGACCACGTCCACGTCCACGTCCACGTCCAAGTCCATGTCCACGTCCAGGTCCACGTCCACCTCCACGTCCACGTCCAGATTTACGTCCATGTCCACGTTCACGACCACGTCCTTGTCTACGTCCACGTCCACGTCCAGGTCCACATCCACCTCCACGTCCACGTCCAGGTCCAGATCCACGTCCACGTCGACGTCCACGTCCACAACCACGTCCACGTCCACGTCCACGTCCACATCCACCTCCACGTCCACGTCCACGTCCACGTCCACGTCCACATCCACCTCTACGTCCACGTCCACGTCCACGTCCACATCCCATCCACGTCCACGTCCACGTCCACATCCAGGTCCAGGTCCAGATCCAGGTCCACGTCCGCGTTTACGTCCAGGTCCACGTCCAAGTCCACGTCTACGTCCACATCCACGTCCACGTCCTCCACGTCCACGTCCACGTCCTAAATGTCCACGTCAATGTCCACGTCCACGTCCAAGTCCACGTCCACGTCCAGGTACACGTCCACGTCCAGGTCCACGTCCACGTCCACGACCTTTCCACGTCCACGTCCACGTCCACGACCACGTCCACGTCCACATCCACGTCCACGTCTATGTCCACGTCCTGGTCCACGTCCAAGTCCACGTCAATGTCCACGTCCACGTTCACGACCACGTCCACGTCCACGTCCACGTCCACGACCACGTCCACGTCCAGGTCCACGTCCACGTCCACGTCCACGACCACGTCCACGTCCACGTCCACGTCCACGTCCACGACCACGTCCACGTCCACGTCCACGTCCACGACCACGTCCACGTCCACGTCCACGACCACGTCCACGTCCACGTCCACGTCCATGTCCACAACCACGTCCACTTCCACGTCCACGTCCACGTCCAAGTCCACGTCCAGGTCCACGTCCACGTCCAAGTCCACGTCAAGGTCCACGTCTACCTCCAAGTCCACGTCCGGGTCCACGTCCACGTCCACGTCCACGTCCAGGACCACGTCCTCGTCCACGTCCACGTCCACGACCACGTCCACGTCCACGTCCACGTCCACGTCCAGGTCCACGTCCACGTCCAGGTCCACATCCATGTCTACGTCCATGTCCAGGTCCACGTCCACGTCCACGTCCACGTCCAGGACCACGTCCACGTCCACGTCCACATCTACGTCCAGGTCCACGTCCACGTCCACGTCCACATCCACGACCACGTCCAAGTCCACGTCCACGTCCACGACGACGTCCACGTCCACGTCCACGTCCACGACCACGTCCACGTCCACGTCCACGTCCACATCCACGTCAACGTCCAAGTCCAAGTCCACGTCCACGACCTCGTCCAGGTCCACGTCCAGGTCCAGGTCCAGGTCCACGTCCACGTCCACGTCCACGTCCTCGTCCACGTCCACGTCCACATCCACGTCTACGTCCACGACCACGTCCACGTCCACGTCCACGTCCACGTCCTCGTCCACGTCCACGTCCACGTCCAAGTCCACGTCCACGTCCACGACCACGTCCACGTCAACGTCCACATCCACGTCCACGTCCACGTCCACGTCCACGTCCAAATCCTCCACGTCCACGTCCACGTCCACGTCCACATCCACCTCCACGTCCACGTCCACGTCCACATCCCATCCACGTCCACGTCCACGTCCACGTCCACGTCCAGGTCCAGGTCCACGTCCACGTCCACGTCCGCGTCCACGTCCAGGTCCACATCCAAGTCCACGTCCACGTCCACGTCCACGTCCACGTCCACGTCCACGTCCACGTCCACGTCCACGTCCACGTCAGTCCACGTCCACGTCCAGGTCCACGTCCACGTCCACGACCACGTCCACGTCCACGTCCAAGTCCACGTCCAAGTCCAGGTACACGTCCAGGTCCAGGTCCACGTCCACGTCCACATCCACGTCCACGTCCAAGTCCAAGTCCATGTCCACCTCTACGTCCACGTGCACGACCACGTCCACGTCCACGTCCAAGTCCACGTCCAAGTCCACGTCCAGGTCCACGTCCACGTCCACGTTTACGTCCTCGTCCACGTCTAGGTTCACGTCCACGTCCACGTCCAGGTCCACGTCCAGGTCCAAGTCCACGTCCAAGTCCACGTCCACGTCCACGACCACGTCCACGTCCACGTCCACGTCCACGTCCTCCACGTCCACGTCCACATCCACGTCCACGACCACGTCCAGGTCCACGTCCTTGCCACGTCCACGTCCACGTCCATGTCCTCCACGTCCACGTCAACGTCCACGTCCACATCCACGTCCAAGTCCACGTCCACGTCCACGTCCACGTCCAGGTCCACGTCCACGTCCACGTCCACGACCACGTCCACGTACACGTCTACGTCCACGTCCACGACCACGTCCACGTCCACGTCCACATCCACGAACACGTCCACGTCCATATCCACGTCCACGTCCAAGTCCACGTCCATGTCCACGTCCACGTTCACGTCCAGGTCCACGTTCAGGTCCACGTCCACATCCAAGTCCACGTTCACGTCCACCTCCACGTCCACGTCCACGTCCACGACCACGTCCACATCCACGTCCACGTCCTCCATGTCCACGTCCACGTCCACGTCTTCGACCACGTCCAGGTCCACGTCCTTGCCACGTCCACGTCCACGTCCACGTCCACGTCCACGTGCACGTGCACGTCCACGTCGAGGTCCAGGTCCACGTCCAAACCCACGTCCACGTCCACGTCCAAGTCCACGTCCACGTCCATGTCCACGTCCACGTCCACGACCACGTCCACGTCCACGTCCACGTCCACGTCCACGTCCACGTCCAAGTCCACGTCCACGTCCACGTCCATGTCGAGGTCCACGTCCACGTCCACGTCCACGACCACGTCCACGTCCATGACCACGTCCACATCCACGTCCACGTCCACGACCACGTCCTTGTCCATGTCCACGTCCAAGTCCACGTCCAGGTCCACGTCCTCCTCCACGTCCACGTCTAGGTTTACGTCCACGTCCACGTCCACGTCCACGACCACGTCCACGTCCACGTCCACTTCCACGTCCACAACCACGTCCACGTCCACATCCACGTCCACGTCCACGTCCAGGTCCACATCCATGTCCACGTCCACGTCCATGTGGAGGTCCACGTCCACGTCCACGACCACGTCCACGTCCACGACCACGTCCACGTCCACGTCCACGACCACGTCCACGTCCACGTCCACGTCCAAGTCCATGTCCACGTCCAGGTCCACGTCCACCTCCACGTCCACGTCCAGATTTACGTCCATGTCCACGTTCACGACCACGTCCTTGTCTACGTCCACGTCCACGTCCAGGTCCACATCCACCTCCACGTCCACGTCCAGGTCCAGATCCACGTCCACGTCGACGTCCACGTCCACAACCACGTCCACGTCCACGTCCACGTCCACATCCACCTCCACGTCCACGTCCACGTCCACGTCCACGTCCACATCAACCTCTACGTCCACGTCCACGTCCACGTCCACATCCCATCCACGTCCACGTCCACGTCCACATCCAGGTCCAGGTCCAGATCCAGGTCCACGTCCGCGTTTACGTCCAGGTCCACGTCCAAGTCCACGTCTACGTCCACATCCACGTCCACGTCCTCCACGTCCACGTCCACGTCCTAAATGTCCACGTCAATGTCCACGTCCACGTCCAAGTCCACGTCCACGTCCAGGTACACGTCCACGTCCAGGTCCACGTCCACGTCCACGACCTTTCCACGTCCACGTCCACGTCCACGACCACGTCCACGTCCACATCCACGTCCACGTCTATGTCCACGTCCTGGTCCACGTCCAAGTCCACGTCAATGTCCACGTCCACGTTCACGACCACGTCCACGTCCACGTCCACGTCCACGACCACGTCCACGTCCAGGTCCACGTCCACGTCCACGTCCACGACCACGTCCACGTCCACGTCCACGTCCACGTCCACGACCACGTCCACGTCCACGTCCACGTCCACGACCACGTCCACGTCCACGTCCACGACCACGTCCACGTCCACGTCCACGTCCATGTCCACAACCACGTCCACTTCCACGTCCACGTCCACGTCCAAGTCCACGTCCAGGTCCACGTCCACGTCCAAGTCCACGTCAAGGTCCACGTCTACCTCCAAGTCCACGTCCGGGTCCACGTCCACGTCCACGTCCACGTCCAGGACCACGTCCTCGTCCACGTCCACGTCCACGACCACGTCCACGTCCACGTCCACGTCCACGTCCACGTCCAGGTCCAGGTCCACATCCATGTCCACGTCCACGTCCACGTCCATGTCGAGGTCCACGTCCACGTCCACGTCCTCGTCCACGACCACGTCCACGTCCACGACCACGTCCACGTCCACGTCCACGATCACGTCCACGTCCACGTCCACGTCCAAGTCCACGTCCACGTCCAGGTCCACGTCCACCTCCACGTCCACGTCCAGGTTTACGTCCAAGTCCACGTTCACGACCATGTCCACGTCCACGTCCACGTCCACGTCCAGGTCCACGTCTACCTCCACCTCCACGTCCAGGTCCAGATCCACGTCCACGTCGACGTCCACGTCCACAACCACGTCCACGTCCACGTCCACGTCCACATCCACCTCCACGTCCACGTCCACGTCCACGTCCACGTCCACGTCCACATCCACCTCCACGTCCACATCCACGTCCACGTCCACATCCCATCCACGTCTACGTCCACGTCCACGTCCACGTCTAGGTCCACGTCCACGTCCACGTCCACGTCCGCGTCCAGATCCAGGTCCACGTCCAAGTCCACGTCCACGTCCACGTCCTCCATGTCCACGTCCACGTCCTCCACGTCCACGTCAATGTCCACGTCCACGTCCAAGTCCACGTCCACGTCTAGGTACACGTCCACATCCACGTCCAGGTCCAGGTCCACGTCCACGTCCACGTCCACGTCCACGTCCACGTCCACGACCTTTCCACGTCCACGTCCACGTCCACGACCACGTCCACGTCCACGTCCAGGTCCACGTCCACAACCACGTCCACGTCCACGTCCAAGTCCACGTCCAGGTCCAGGTCCAGGTCCACGTCCAAGTGCACGTCTATGTCCACGTCCACGAACACGTCCACGTCCACGTCCACGTCCATGTCCAGGTCCACGTCCACGTCCAGGTCCACGTCAAGATCCACGTCCACGTCCACGTCCATGTCCACGACCACGTCCACGTCCACGTCCAAGTCCACGTCCTCCATGTCCACGTCCACGTCCACGTCCACAACCACGTCCAGGTCCACGTCCTTGCCACGTCCACGTCCACGTCCTCCACGTCCACGTCCACGTCCTTCACGTCCATGTCCACGTCCAAGTCCACGTCCAAGTCCACGTCCAAGTCCACGTCCAGGTCCACGTCCACGTCCACGTCCACGTCTACGTCCACGTCCAGGTCCACGTCCACGTACATGTCCAGGTCCACGTCCAGGTCCACGTCAGTCCACGTCCACGTCCTCCACGTCCACGTCCACGTCCACGACCACGTCCAGGTCCACGTCCTTGCCACATCCACGTCCACGTCTACGTCCTCCACGTCCACGTCCACGTCCACGTCCACGACCACGTCAGTCCACGTCCACGTCCAGGTCCACGTCCACGTCCACGACCACGTCCACGTCCACGTCCAAGTCCACGTCCAAGTCCAGGTACACGTCCAGGTCCAGGTCCACGTCCACGTCCACATCCACGTCCACGTCCAAGTCCAAGTCCATGTCCACCTCTACGTCCACGTGCACGACCACGTCCACGTCCACGTCCAAGTCCACGTCCAAGTCCACGTCCAGGTCCACGTCCACGTCCACGTTTACGTCCTCGTCCACGTCTAGGTTCACGTCCACGTCCACGTCCAGGTCCACGTCCAGGTCCAAGTCCACGTCCAAGTCCACGTCCACGTCCACGACCACGTCCACGTCCACGTCCACGTCCACGTCCTCCACGTCCACGTCCACATCCACGTCCACGACCACGTCCAGGTCCACGTCCTTGCCACGTCCACGTCCACGTCCATGTCCTCCACGTCCACGTCAACGTCCACGTCCACATCCACGTCCAAGTCCACGTCCACGTCCACGTCCACGTCCAGGACCACGTCCACGTCCACGTCCACGTCCAAGTCCACGTCCACGTCCAAATCCACGTCCACGTCCACAACCACGTCCACGTCCACGTCCACGTCCAGGTCCACGTCCACGTCCACGTCCACGACCACGTCCACGTACACGTCTACGTCCACGTCCACGACCACGTCCACGTCCACGTCCACATCCACGAACACGTCCACGTCCATATCCACGTCCACGTCCAAGTCCACGTCCATGTCCACGTCCACGTTCACGTCCAGGTCCACGTTCAGGTCCACGTCCACATCCAAGTCCACGTTCACGTCCACCTCCACGTCCACGTCCACGTCCACGACCACGTCCACATCCACGTCCACGTCCTCCATGTCCACGTCCACGTCCACGTCTTCGACCACGTCCAGGTCCACGTCCTTGCCACGTCCACGTCCACGTCCACGTCCACGTCCACGTGCACGTGCACGTCCACGTCGAGGTCCAGGTCCACGTCCAAACCCACGTCCACGTCCACGTCCAAGTCCACGTCCACGTCCATGTCCACGTCCACGTCCACGACCACGTCCACGTCCACGTCCACGTCCACGTCCACGTCCAAGTCCACGTCCACGTCCACGTCCATGTCGAGGTCCACGTCCACGTCCACGTCCACGACCACGTCCACGTCCATGACCACGTCCACATCCACGTCCACGTCCACGACCACGTCCTTGTCCATGTCCACGTCCAAGTCCACGTCCAGGTCCACGTCCTCCTCCACGTCCACGTCTAGGTTTACGTCCACGTCCACGTCCACGTCCACGACCACGTCCACGTCCACGTCCACTTCCACGTCCACAACCACGTCCACGTCCACATCCACGTCCACGTCCACGTCCAGGTCCACATCCATGTCCACGTCCACGTCCATGTGGAGGTCCACGTCCACGTCCACGACCACGTCCACGTCCACGACCACGTCCACGTCCACGTCCACGACCACGTCCACGTCCACGTCCACGTCCAAGTCCATGTCCACGTCCAGGTCCACGTCCACCTCCACGTCCACGTCCAGATTTACGTCCATGTCCACGTTCACGACCACGTCCTTGTCTACGTCCACGTCCACGTCCAGGTCCACATCCACCTCCACGTCCACGTCCAGGTCCAGATCCACGTCCACGTCGACGTCCACGTCCACAACCACGTCCACGTCCACGTCCACGTCCACATCCACCTCCACGTCCACGTCCACGTCCACGTCCACGTCCACATCCACCTCTACGTCCACGTCCACGTCCACGTCCACATCCCATCCACGTCCACGTCCACGTCCACATCCAGGTCCAGGTCCAGATCCAGGTCCACGTCCGCGTTTACGTCCAGGTCCACGTCCAAGTCCACGTCTACGTCCACATCCACGTCCACGTCCTCCACGTCCACGTCCACGTCCATGTCCACGTCCACGTCCATGTCCACGTCCACGTCCAAGTCCACGTCCACGTCCAGGTACACGTCCACGTCCAGGTCCACGTCCACGTCCACGACCTTTCCACGTCCACGTCCACGTCCACGACCACGTCCACGTCCACAGTCCACGTCCACGTCTACGTCCACGTCCACGTCCTGGTCCACGTCCAAGTCCACGTCAATGTCCACGTCCACGTTCACGACCACGTCCACGTCCACGTCCACGTCCACGACCACGTCCACGTCCAGGTCCACGTCCACGTCCACGTCCACGACCACGTCCACGTCCACGTCCACGTCCACGTCCACGACCACGTCCACGTCCACGTCCACGTCCACGACCACGTCCACGTCCACGTCCACGTCCACGTCCACGTCCACGTCCACGTCCACGTCCACGTACGTCCACCACGTCCAGGTCCACGTCCACGTCCACTTCCACGTCCACGTCCACGTCCACCACGTCCACGTCCACGTCCACGTC